CTCCCCCACCCCCCTTCGGCCAGAAGGGATTAATCACGTTTCCAATAAGTCTTGCAGTGATTTTTTTTCTTTGGCCAGAAAGATTAATTGCTTTTCAATGCATTCCTATGGGAAATGGTCCTTCGACTTACAACTATTTCGAGTTACATCCATCTTCTGCAATGGATTATGGTCATAAATCGAGGCACCACTGTATCAACTGTCATTGGACAAAAAAGGATTTTGAAAAAGAGAATACAGGATCAGGAATTAGGTCTCTATCAATTTTTTAATGTTTAAACATCTGTATGGCTATACAATACATGGTGGAGCTTGACCCTTAGGCACAGCAGAATAAACCATGCCAATGTCCATTGAAATCACTTGGCTTAGGCACAGATCTAAGCTGTTAGGTATCAAGTGCAAACTTTATTGGCTTTTCTCTGCCAAAAAGACTGATAAATTGTTTTCTTTTTCCAAAGAGAAAGTTTCTAGTCCTCATGAGAAACTTAATCATTTTTACCTTTAAGAGATCAGTATCTACACGAGACAATATCTATAAGAGATCTCAAGTCTTATCTCCTGATCAGTGCATGGAATAAAGAACTTCTATATGAACAATTATCGGGTCTCAAACATGCGGCCCGGGGGCCATTTGCGGCCCCCCAGATGATAGTTTGTGGCCCTCACCTTGCCTGCCCCCCCCAAGCGCCCACACATCCTCTGCTGTTAAGAGTAAAAAAAAAGCCTTGCCTCGCTTGCCGGCTCTCTCCCAAGACAGCACCTCTTGCACCCTCCATCCAGAACTGCAGCCTGCCAGCCAGCCCACCTGTCTGTCGGCTAAGGAAAGTCCTGGGCGGCTTCCTCGGGCTCTTGCTCCGCTTGGCGGAAAATCTGATGCGGCCCAGACTCTGCCTCTAGCGGCCCCCAGGTAAATTGAGTTTAAAACCCCTGAAACTAATGATTCCCCTGAGAATTATGCTTGTAAAAATCCTATAAAATTATTGCTTCTGTCAAGGAAGCAGGAAAATTGCTGCCACCTAGTGTGGTGTCTAAACATAGCCCCAATAACAAATGACACACTTTACAAATACTGTATATTTAATCCAAGTGGTCAGTTACCTCCTCATGCTTTCAATACCCACCATTTAAGGATTTTACATACAATGGAGGTATGATCTGCAAGGAAAAACATCTTCACCTGTATCATAACTGGAAATAAAGCATTAGAAACAATGTAGACACTGTATCAAGTTGCATGTGAGGGATCCCCATACAGTTTGTCTCACCAGAGCATGTGGAAGCCACACTGAAAAGAATATTGAGCAGGAATGATTTAACTCTTGCAGGTGAATGTAACAAATAACAGTTTCAAATTACTTTCAAAGTTACTTTTTACCTGTAGATGGATTGTTGCAAATTCCATGCCATTGTTTTAATAATCTGATTGCCTCCTAAAAATAACAGAAAAGTAACAAAAGAAAAGAAATTATGGAATGTAACAAGAGGCGGTCTTTATAATGAGCCACCTAATTGCTACTTAAAACTCATTATCCTGTTCTGGTCTGGATGCGCACAAGCAGCATCTCTCTCTCTCTCTCTCTCTCTCTCACACACACACACACACACGCACGCACGCACACTTCCTGCTATTGCATATGTACAGTATAGCTTTATCTTAACCTATATGTATTTTCCAAACACACACACACACACACTTCCTGCTATTGCATATGTATAGCTTTATCTTAACCTATATGTATTTTCCAAAAGACACATTTATCTGTATTGCTCATTAGGAATTTCTAGAGTGCACATACTAAAATGGATCATGGTACGTAAGTATGCCTAAAAAAAACTCCAACAGGATATAGGAACTTGGAAGCAATGACTTAATTTCCTTCCCCTAGTCTCTTTTCTCTTCCATCTGATGATGGAAAGTCCACGAAAAGTTTGTCCGAAATAAAACCGGTTACTCCTGAAGGCTCCAGTGCCTATGAATACAAAAAATGAAGCGAGGGTGGTTATTCTACATTCCCTCATCAGGGATAAAGAATGAGGCGTGTCCGGAAGGAGGCCCCACAAGAAAGCCGGCCTGCCCTGAAGCTCTTACATCTCCCTATGACTCACCTGGAGAAACAAACGGGAGGGTCGGACAACGCTCCCCTTCTTTCCTCATTGGTCTGCGTGCGTTTTTCCTCTCTTCTGATAAGCCAAGGCCACCAGTCTGTCATCCCCCCCCCTCTTGTTTAGTCGCTCGTCCCGCCCGCCTTTGGAACCCGACTGTCTTGAGGTTTAAAGGGCCAGCGGCTTGTTGTGCTTCTCTTTCCCCGCCCTCGGCATCCCTCCCTGTTCTCTCTTGCCAAGAGCCCGATCCTGAGAGGTGGGGGAAGCAGCAGTCGCAGTCGCAGCCGCAGCCGCAGCCATGCATTCCCTCCGGGCTGTGCCCAGGATCCTGCAGTCTCGTGAGACCCATTGCTGGTGGCAAAGAGGGGCGGGACACCGGCTGGAGATAGTGGTAGTGCCCGTGGGCTTCGGTAGAGCCCGCTACTCCTCGGCTCCAGGCAGAGAGGCGGTGATGATGATGAATGGCCGCCACCAACTGTCGCAGCAGCACCTCACCGACCAGTAAGGGATGCATGACCCCCATGTCATATCACTGTGGTTGTGATGATGTTCATAAGTGATGGAGTGGAGAGTCTGTCGTTGTCCCCCCCCCCAACGCTTGGGAATTGTCTAGATCACGGCAAAGCCCCCGCCTCGCCCCCATTGATTGGGTTCTTTGCAACCCTTTAATTGCACTAGTGAACTTTCCACCTTTTGCAAAGATAGGTACCTGTCCTCGTAACTATACACCTAATCAAGTTAGCTGACATCCCTGCATGGATTTGGTTATCTCATATGTCCCTGGTTTTCTTCCCCAAACCCACTGGCAAGGTTTGTACTTCTTCAGAGAACTGGCAAGGCAAAGGAGGTGTGATGTATATAAAATCTGGACAGAGTCAAATACGAAGAACAAAGAATGGAGTGTTGTGATCTTGAATTTCAGTGTGCTGAAGTAGTTTAGGTATCTGGCTGCAGAGCCAGAGGTTGGGAGTTTGATTCCCCACTGTGCCTCCTGGAAGAAGGGCCAGCCTGTGTGGCCTTGGGCAAGCTGCAAAGTCCCAGGGTGGCCCACAGGAAGGGAATGGGAATCCACTTCTGAGTACACTCTACTGTACTTAGAAAACGCTGGAAAGGGCCCCTATAAGTCCGAATTGACTTGATAGCATGCCATTATTATTCTTAAAGTTCATTCATTCAATTATTATTCTTCATTCATTCATTACTGGTGATGTTTCTCACTAGATTCTAAAATGAATACAATAAGATTATCTTACTCTGGAAGAAGAAAAGATTCTTCTCTATGGGGAAGAAACCAAATAATGCTAGAAAAAGTGGAAGACTGAACATGAGATGCATTGATTCAGTAAAAGAACCCAGTCTTTAGTTTTCAAAACCTGAGCATAGGTGCTCATGATTTGGCCTTTGGGGGATAATTAATTTATAGGGTTGTCATACTTCAGAAGCAGTTTGATTCTACATAATAACAACAGTGCTTTCACATTCAGATAATTCCTCATCTAAATAGTGGAAGAGAAAATAAGACATTTGTATATGTCTATAAAGCCAGTTGCTTTCTTATAGGTATTGACTTTTGATATTCTTGCTCCCTAATTTTATAGTCATTATTTTACCTCATATAAAATACCATGGTGTGCTAAGTATCTCTACCCTCATATCATTCTGAAGGCAAATTCCGATGCTGGTTCCAGGAGTAATGCTGGCTGCCATAGAAACATCTCTGTAACAGCAGAATTGTGCTCAGTCTGGTAAGAAGGGTAGAAAGAAAGGAAAATAATCTCATTCTTTTGTACCACTAGTGAGGCTAGGAATGGGTCTCTGGAATTTTTGAGTAAAATTATTAGGGAAAAACAATAAATCTGCAATTCCTTAAAGGCTGTTTCACTGTCTAAGTAATAATGTAAAATGGTGGTTGAGTTGTGATGTGGAACCTAAACAAATATTTTCCCCATCCATTGCTTTTTTGTAGTGTACAAACACCAACTTGCTATTTGCAATTTGCTTTTTCTCACACTGGTACGACAGCTTCTTTGTAGCATTTCCCCCACCATTTGATGTATAGTTCATTGCTTCCTATTTCCCAGTTCCTTATACAGGTATTGAGTCTCATATATACAGTATTTTATACAAAGCTGATGAATGACTTAAGAACTGAACTTCATATGCTCCTGATCTGGCTAGCATATTATGTACCTCCATGACTGAGAGAGTAAAACGTCTGATGTATATCTTAGAATGTAGATGAATGAGTGCCACCAGAACATAACTGGCTAGTGCCTGTATTGTTCAATGCTCTCTGGCACACTGTTTTGAAAATGTTCTCGTTCCTCAATTTTAAAATCATAGATCTATAACACAGAGGGTTTTAGCTTATACATACTGTTCCTTGTAGGAAATATGAAGTTTATTAAGTGGAGCATGATATCATCAGTGTACTGTTCCTTGTAGGAAATATGTTTATTAAGTGGAGCATGATATCATCAGTCAGTAGGGAATAGCTTAACATTCTTCAGCACTTTCTTTCCTGGTTCTTATAAACCTATATACAGTATTAGGTACTATGTAAGAACCCAGAATGTATGTGCAATGAATATATAAGTACAGTAATTTAAAAAAGCTATAATAGACTAGGCAAGATTTGGCAAAATGAGATTTAAGATATTGGTATTGTATGAATATTTTTTTGACATACATGCATTAGAACAGCTCAATTGGTATCAATGACATTAGAACAAGGAGTTGTATGAGATATCATAGAACTCTGACATAAAGATAGAAGTATAGAGATATTCTTAAATTTACTTTTATGGCCAAGAAAAAGGTCAATGGAAATAAGTAATGATCAGGCAATGCATTTTTCATGTTGCAGCTAGAATAGGATAAAATGCAATATAGAGGATTATGCAGGATGTGGAGAGTACAAATAAATTAGTCCTAACTTCACATCTATACTGCTGTGGTATAATTTTGATCAAAAAAGAAAGGGATTTTGGAATGGGTGGGAGAGCAGCTGTTGCCCTATATATGTTGTTGGACTGCAGTTCCTGTCCACCTAAGTCAGCATGGGAAATGGTGAAGGCACAAGTGGAAGTGCAATTGACAACCATCTGGAGCACTACACCACACAAATAATCCAAACCTGCAAAGCAATAGGAGAATGGTTTGTAATTAATTATGTTTTGGCATCATGGAAGCTTTTCTCTCAAGTGACTCTCATCTTTTCCTAGGGATCTGTCGGAGAATGGAATGTTGCCACGTCTTAGTGATCTTCTCTTCTACACGGTTGCTGAGGGACAGGAGTGCATTTCCATTCATAAATTCACCAGTGTAAGAGACTCTCCATCTGACAAGCCTGAGCAGTGGGGGTGGGCAACTGGACCTGCAAATCCTTTCATTGGTTGTTGGAAAACATCATTGCCAGCATTTTAATGACAATTTATCCTTTGCTGTAGTTTTTTTTAAAATAGCCAAACATCCCTGTAAGTTAGATGTAGGCTTCACAAGATCGATTAACACACCTACTCTTTCAGAGAGTGTGTCTCTTTATTTCCAGAAAATATTTCTGTGATAGTGCCCCCATTCGATAAAGTTGTCATTGCTATCTATTTTCTTAAATGTCTAAACTCTTTCCCCACCCCACCTTGTTGACATAACCCCTTCCAGTACCATAACTTTGTAACCTATGTATTTTTCCATGCCCTCTTCTTCTTGGTTGAGGCCTTGGAAGGTACTGGCCTTTGGACCTCAGATCCACGCCTGCGTGACTGCATGAACCTGATGCAAAAGGCAGCACAAGATCCCAGTGCTGGTGGGGTACTGAACCGGGAACTTTTCCGTAGGTATGGTGTATTGCAGTGGTGCTTTGATAAATTATAATTTGCAGCTGATACAAAAATCCTAATCTTACTAGTAAAAATACTAGTAGATACACCAGGTTTTGCAGAGATTGGAAGAAACCCCTTAGTTTGCCACCATGGTATTCTTTCCTTTAAGCCAGTGGTGGCCAACCTTGGGCCTCCAGATGTTCTTGGACTTCAACTCCCAGAAATCCTGGCCAGCAGTGGTGGTGGTGAAGGCTTCTGGGAGCTGTAGTCTAAGAACATCTGGAGGGCCAGGGTTGGACACTACTGCTTTAAGCACTCTTTCTCTACTCCTCCCACTTGTGCCCCAAACACAGTGGTCTTCTTCTTCCCATACCTGTTCACCTATTCTAGTTTTCCTTCTCTCCCTCAAAATCCTCTTCTCTATCCTTACATACCCAAGGTCTCTTTCTCTTTCCCTCAAATGGTTCTCTTCTCTCATCTTCCCACCCCATCTCCCCTTTTCTTGCTTATTTTTCTCAGCTCCCATCCCAGTGCTCATGCATTCTTTCCCTCTGCCCTCACTATGCCCATTTACCAAGCATCGGTATCTAGTCTCTCTCTCTCTTTTTTTTTTCAACTTTCCCTTCGTTAGGGACATCCTCCTCTTGGTTACTTCAGATGGCGCTGCAGAATACAGACAGATTTAAATTAATTAAAATAACCAGATTAATTTGAAGAAAACAACACCCCATAAGGTTTTATGGTCCTGAAGCTGCGGCAAAGACATGCAGATTCACACGAATCTTCTGTTATTATTACTATTATAGGTACCAACATTTGCAGATACGCACAACCTCCCCAACCTCTGGCCATTCACTTTGTTACAGTGCCCTTGGGATGCATCTCTAGACAGTATTTTATCTTGCCATAATCTCGTCTTGGTTCCAGGATTGTCTGGGCAGGTGGTTCAAAATCCTAATTACCTTCCTTTGGTCACCCTCCCATACTTTGCCCACTGTTTTCCATCTTGTTTCTTACCTAAAGGTAGTCTGTTAAGGAGAAAATGTCAAAATAACTTCACACTGTATATTTATTGGTAGTGCAAGGAGCCCTCCTCCCCCGGAAGCACCACCCTCTGACCTAAATGTCTTGCACACCTTTATCAGATCTCTTTGCAGCCATGGTCCAATCTCTCGGTTGTTTTTAATCCCTTTTACTTTGACCATATGTATCTTATATTTATCTAACTAGAACAAGTTTACATGGCACTGAGCCCCAACATTAGCTTGGGAAGGAAGCACTGTGGACACTAGAAGAAATGAAGCAACAGAGCGGTCGAATAGACCAGATGGGCGGGATACAAATCAAATAAATAAATAAATAAACAAACAAACATGTACTTGTAGCTTATTTGACTGTTCAGTAATAACAGATATACAATAGTTATCAAAAGGGGGGAGGATTTCTATGACATTTCACATTCCCCTGCAACCTACACTTAAGCCTATAAGCAAGTCCAAATATGTTTGTGAGCAATGCAGCCTTTCTCACTAGATTATTCATAAACTTGTTCAAATCCACCACAAATTCAAACATAGGCTGTAGGGGGGAACAATGACATGTCCTAGAAATCCTCTCCCTAAATCATTAGCTACAGAAATTATTTTAAAAACCCACCAAGCTGGAAAATTTTCAACTTATTTTCTATTAGTTCATAGTCTGCCTCAAACTTTGGTGGAACTCATTTATGAGACAGAGGCTGTTCTGGAATTTCCTTTTAGCCCTGGACTTCAGAAGTTAAACAATTGCTAGAAGGGAGGATTGCCATGGAAAGAATGATACCAGGCATGTGAGAAATTAAATGCTTTTTTTTTCAAAAACTGGAAGCAATCTTTCAGAATAAGATGGATTTTTGATAGGCAGAGTGCAAGATCATTGGAAATTTGGTTTGCATTGCTAGGCTCATCCAGTGAGGTTCTTTGCTTTGCAGGGCAAAGACGCAAGACAGTTAAAGAGAGCAATATTGAATAGATTACAGATAAATCTTGCAATTTTTTTTCTTATCATGTTTGTATGAAGATGTATTACTCGGCACCATACATACCCATGTTCAACACCCCTTCTGTTCTCAGGTGTGTGAGCAGCAATATTGTCCTCCTGACCCAGGCCTTCCGGAAGAAATTTGTCATTCCTGATTTCCAGGAGTTCACAACTCATATGGAGAAGATTTTTGAGAGCACCAGAGGACTCCGGGAAGGCAAGGTAAGATGAAAGAACAAACCAGCACTTTGTGTGAGTAGTAGAGACTAGGAGCTCATCCGTGTGTCCTGTCTCCTCCCGTTTAACATAGTGCATTGATTCAGGTTAGTTTAACGGAGACACGTAATCTTACTAGATACTCAATTTAAATTAATGTAAGGCTTCCTATCCATTTCAATTTCGACTTTGAAGTCTACCTAGAGCTCCCTTTTGCCCTCCCAGTCCTGAGGCTCCCAAAGATTTCTCCAGGGCAGTTCGAAAACTGGAAGGAAGATTTCCAGTTAAGCTGGCATGGGGGAGCAGGGTGGATAAGAAGCTTCCCATTACTTTAAATTTATTTCTGGCATCCCAGCCCAGTTTATGCCAGCAGAACAATTCCAGCTTTTGCATCCACTACAGGGAAAAAAAATGCGTAGTCCTTGGTGAGGATCCCTCTGACAAGAAGGGCTCTTTAGAGTCTCTGGGCAGGCATAGACTAGACCCCGCAGGTTTCAATGGCTCTTCTAAACATTCAGCTTTTATTTCTGGAACTTCAAGAAAATCCTGAACATCAGCTTTAACATTCAACAATTCTTCCAAACTTACAGAATTAATAAAATGATTTTTCTCGTAAGCGACGGAGAGGCTTTCGAAGGTTTCTTCTCAAAGTCCTCCAACACCTTCAGTCTCTAACTCTATCAGCACCGGTTCTGGCGATAATGGCAACGAATTGCTCTCCTGGTGGGTTTCGGACACCCTTGAAGTCATCTCGCTCAGGTATTTTAAGATCCCAGGTCCTGGGGGTGTACATCTCTCTCTCTCTTGTCTCTCTATCTTTGCCCGCTCTTCTCTGATCTTTCTTCCCCACTCCTGAGCCTCTGTCTCACCCCAATATGAGGGTTTTCGGGATGCCCTTCCTCTCCTTCTTCTGTCAGCCTCTTTCTATGGGACCATTAGTTTCTCCCATTTATGGGTCCATGGATTTTCCGTCCAGTTTCCATTCCCAACCTTGGGGACAAGATCCTTTTCTCTTTCTTCATGTCAGAGGAATCACTGCTTCTGCTTCCCATCTTCCTTTCCTCTCATCTTTTTCTACGCCTTTCTTCTCTATGCTGAATCCTTCTCCTCCACTAATCCTGCCTTTTCTAATTCCTCGAGGCTCCCTTTTTCCTCCCCTTCATTTTTCTCTTCCACGTCTCTGGAGGTCTCCTGTCTTTCCTTCCTTTCTTCAGTTTGCACCCCTGTCATTTCTTTCAGGGCTCCCTTGTCCAAGGGGGATGGACTGCACTCTGACAGAGATGTTACGAGGCTCACAGTCATACAGATATCTGTAACCTAACAGACCATGGGGATTAGCTGTACTGCTATTCTGTGCTTTGCAAAACAGACAATTTGACGAGGTATACATATTTCCATTAGCAGAAGTATTGCGCCACCAAGGAATTTTTGGAATGTTCATTCCCTCAGCAGCTCAGTGGTGTTGCTCTCTGACTCTGGAGCCAGAGGGTGGGAGTTTGATTCCCCCACTGTGCCTCCTTGTCAGGGGCTGGACTCAATGATCCATAGGGTCTCTTCAAGTTCTGCAGTTCTAAGATAATGATGAAATGAAATCCTCATCTAAAAGCCAAGCATTGCTGTGGCAGGGAAGGAGGCATGGTATCCTTGTTGCTTTATTTTCAGTTTGAAGAAAGAGTGGTCTTTCTGTGTTGGAATTGTATGGGGGGGCACTTGGCTTTTTTGGCACCAATAAAGGTGGGCTGTGTAATCTGTGAGGTTCATGTTGCAAGCAGTGTTCAGGGAATGCCTGGCCAAGAGGCATGGATCACATCGTTCAACCCAGTGCTCATAAAAGATGTGGAAATCCCAACCAGAGGACGCACAGTATTCCCACAAGCAGAAATGATTCCTGGTTTGAATACAGCTGCAGCAAGGGTGAACTGACGAGGCACCCATCCGTGCTTTAAAGTGGAAGGTGCTCAATGTTGTGAAAATGTTTCTCTGTCCTTGGAAGGAGGCAAATGGAATTGCAGTGAGCCTTGGAAGGATGGAACGGTTTGTCCAGCCAAGTTCCATCCACAGTAGGCAGCACAGCAGGGAAAGAACCATTCTGTTCAGGCACAATTGTGATCAAATGCAAAGAGCTTATCTGTAGATAAACAGCTAATTTTTGTGCTGGAGCTGAAGACGATTCATTTTGGGATAGTTCAGGAGACCATTTGTTGAGCAGCTTTTCATGTTTGGTGTATGAGGTGGAACAGGAGTCCCTTTAGATCAGATGGAATGCCTGCAAGATGGGCTGAGGTGGCTTGTGACTGGGGCTGGGGGGGGGCTGCCTCCCCACCTCCAAACTAAGGGGTGAAGTACCTCCCCTGTACTAGTCCGTGGGCTGCCCCTGAGCAAGAGGACTGCAGTGCTTCTCCCTGAAAGGATGCTCTAGCACAGAATGTACCACCACACAGCCACCACGCTCCCTACTTTTTGGGAGGGGTGGGTGGAGAGGGAGAGTCACGGGCTCTGTCTCTGTTTGCAGTCTGTCAGGTGAGGGGATGCGGTGTGCTTTGGATAAGGGACTGAAGGGAGGGAGGTGGTAAACAGCTGCAGTGCACGCGGAGCGAGCGAGATAGCCAGGAATGCTCCTTGCAGCTCCTCACTTTTCCAGCAAGATTATTCTAGAGGACAACTTGGAAAGGCAACAGCAAGATCTGCCCTTGAGGCCGGTTTTCCTTTCACTAATGAACCACGGCAAGGGGTTGCTTGGAAGCAGGCGTCTGATGAGCATGAGGACAGAAGTTGCGTACGAAGAGAAAACGTGGCTTGGTCCTGGGAAGCTACACAGCAAGCAGGAGAGAAAAGAGGAGCCCTTCACTCATCATCCTCTCTCCCCAGGGACACATTCCCCCCCACGCTGTGCTTTAGGGGTGTAGTTACACTGCTGATTTGTATCAGTTTTAGCTCCTGTATATTTTAAATCCATTTTCAGTCAGGTGTATTGCTGTGCACACTCACTTTGAAAATTTTTACTCTGATATAAAGTAGGGGCTTCAATGTTTGCAAACTGCAGAATTTCCATTTTTGCTGATCGTGGAACATCACGAATGATTGCAGCCTTCTCTTTCCCATTTATTTTCAATGTTGTCCAGTATTTCTTCGGTTGTCAGGTATCCTTTGAAATGTGTGCATTTCTCTCTCTCTTTTTAAAAATAAATTTTAAGTGACATAGTGACACTGCTTCGGAAGTCCATGACCGTCGTTTCGTTTCATTTAGCCGTTTAGTCGTGTCCGACTCTTCGTGACCCCATGGACCAGAGCACGCCAGGCCCTCCTATCTTCCACTGCCTCCCAGAGTTGGGTCAGATTCATGTTGGTTGCTTCGGTGACACTGTCCAACCATCTCATCCTCTGTCATCCCCTTCTCCTCTTGCCTTCACACTTTCCCAACATTAAGGTCTTTTCCAGGGAGTCTTCTCTTCTCATGAGATGGCCAAAGTACTGGAGCCTCAGCTTCAGGATCTGTCCTTCCAGTGAGCACTCAGGATTGATTTCCTTTAGAATTGATAGGTTTGTTCTCCTTGCAGTCCAGGGGACTCTCAAGAGCCTCCTCCAGCACCACAATTCAAAGGCATCAATTCTTCAGCGGTCAGCTTTCTTTATGGTCCAGCTCTCACTTCCATACATCACTACAGGAAAAACCATAGCTTTGACTATTTGGACTTTTGTTGGCAAGGTGATATCTCTGCTTTTTAAGATGTTGTCAAGGTTTGTCATCGCTTTCCTCTCAAGAAGCAGGCGTCTTTTAATTTCGTGGCTGCTGTCTCCATCTGCAGTGATTATGGAGCCCAAGAAGGGAAAATGTGTCACTGCCTCCATATGTTCCCCTTCTATTTGCCAGGACGTGATGGGGCCAGTGGCCATGATCTTGATTTTTTTGATGTTGACCGTTTTTTGCACTCTCCTCTTTCACCCTCATTACAAGGTTCTTTCGTTCCTCCTCCCTTTCTGCCATCAGAGTGGTATCATCTGCATATCGGAGGTTGTTGATATTTCTTCCGGCAATCTTAATTCCAGTTTGGGATTCCTCCAGTCCAGCCTTCCGCATGATGTATTCTGCATATAAATTAAATAAGCCGGGGGACAATATACAGCCTTGTCATACTCCTTTCCCAATTTTGAACCAATCAGTTGTTCCATATCCAGTTCTAACTGTTGCTTCCTGTCCCACGTATAGGTTTCTCAGGAGATGGATAAGGTGGTCAGGCACGCCCATTTCTTTAAGGACTTGCCATAGTTTGCTGTGGTCCACGACCACCCACCCACAAAGGCAGTATTCAATAAATTTTAAGAGACAGATTGATAGAGAAACATTGCTTTGTAAACCCACGACCACCCACAAAGGCAGTGTTTAATATGACAGAGGTATTCACATTGCCTGAAGTGATTCATAACAAATTGATATCACAAGTGTATTGAATTAAAAAGTCCTCACCAGCCTCTTTAAAAAAATATAACTTTTTAACTGAACAAAGTGTACTTCACCATGAGTCATGGAGTCAGGATTTATTCAAATTGGTTTTAATTATGCAAAACCCGATTCAAAAGCAGTTCCTATTATCAGTGTATCCTTTGTTAGGTGTTCACTTGTTGAGCTTTGATGCCTCTCAGAAGACAGCATATGAGGCATGTAGTCTGATTCCTATGAGGATTCTTCTTTGTAGCCACTGAAGGAAAAGCTAGTCTGCATTTTGTCAACTGGCTCACAAGAAGTAGTTGTGGAAGCCCTTCTTGTTGAGGGAAAACCTGTTGCTTCCCTCTGTTTAATGTGTGAGCCAGGAACTGAAAAAGTGTGGCAAAACCCAGCTCAGTTTTCCAACCCACTCTCCTTAAAAGCATATCGATCCTGTAAAACACTGGTTCCCCAACCTTGGGCCTCCAGATGTTCTTGGAATACCACTTCCAGAAGCCTTCACCACCACCTCTGCTGACCAGGAATTCTGCGAGTTGAAGTTCAAGAACATCTGGAGGCCCAAGGTTGGGGACCAGTGCAGTGTAAAACATTCTCCTCTAGACTGCCTACTGATCAGAGAAAGAAGGACTAGAAAATACAGTAATATGAACACTGCTGGAGATAGTCCAAGGAAGCTTGCTGTGCTGCCCTCAGGTGGCTGGCCAGATGGCTGAGATGTGAATGGATTCCTTATCAGTGCCTGTGTCCATTTATTTTTTTAATTTTTTTTTTTCTAGGTGGCAAATTACATCCCACAGTTGGCAAAGTGTAACCCAGACATCTGGGGAGTATCTCTTTGCACAGTAGACGGACAACGGTGAGTGGAAAGGATCTGAGGATAAAAGTGAGGTGGCCAATTAAGGGAGGGGGGAACTTCTGAATTCAATATTTGTTTGCTTGTTTTAGTATAATTTGTAGGCCACAAACAGAATTTAAAAAACAATAAAGTCTGCATTAAAAAGCAATTTAATTATAATACTGTGACAATTAAGAATACATTAAATAATTTAAAACATTTAAAATTTTGAAAACAGACTTGCTCAACTAAAAACCGGCATGCAGGACTCAAATTATACTTCTCTCTGTCAGAGTATGCTGGGCACACGCTGGCAGTGACGTGTAGATATTCCAGTACAGAGTCAGATGTCCTGATTTGGAATAAGGCAGCTTCTTCTGTTCCTAATGCCTATAACTTGTGACACATTTGCCAAAACTATTTACCACCCTGCTATTCAGTTGTGTGAACAAACTCCAGAACAGGTGGCATCTCCTCTCACACTTTTCTCTCTGCTTATTTCCTCCAGGCATTCCATGGGCCACACCAAGACACCATTCTGCCTCCAGTCATGTGTCAAACCCCTGAAATATGCTGTTGCTGTTAATGAACTAGGTACCAAGCGAGTGCATCAGTATGTCGGCAAAGAGCCCAGCGGGTTGCGTTACGACAAGCTCTCTCTCAATGAGGAAGGTAAGACAGCAGAACTCCAGGTAAGAAAGTATGAGGGAGGAGCCTCAATGTCTTTGTGTGTAAGAGACCCAAGGTTCATATCCTCACCTCTCACTAAAGGCCAAAGCACACATTCAGGAAAAAAAATTGTTTCTTGAAGGAGTGCTCCCCCAAGCAATGGAAAAGGTGTGATTGTAAAAGCACATTAAAAGAAGAAGCATGGGTCATCTACATTATCTCTTAACAAGGACTTCTTTTGTATGTCTAGTTCTAGAATCCTGCAAAACAGCAGTCAACACTACTGGGGAGAAAACATTCTAGGAGCGGGAATGATGCCATTTCTCCAAAAGTGTCTTTTGGCCCTGTGTGTCTTTGGGCAGGTCTTGCCCTCTTGCAGGGCTTGCTTCACAAATTATAATATAAAGATTTATACAACTAAGCCGTCCAATGGCTTTCAATGGAGAAAACAGAAAATCACCAAAAATTAACGACGTCTCAGAACAACACCAAATTAATTTGCATAGGTTTCAGGAGGTGGGCTAACAATTGCAAGCATTTAAAACACTTTTCAAACAGTTTAAGGCACTTTTACAGGAGCGAAAAGGGACTTCGCAAACCCATTCAAATGCACTGAGTCGACTTCAATGCATTTCAATTGGGGAACCGCGTTTCCCTCAACGATGTTTCCTATGGGGATTTTCGCTTAAGTACGGCAATCCGTTCCAATTGGAACGGATTAACCGGTTTTCAATGCATTCCTATGGGAAATGGTGTTTCACAGAACGATGTTTCACAGAACAGTGTTTTTTTTTTGAACCAATTAACATTGTTGTGCGAGGCACCACTGTATATTCAAAAGCAATGATTCTTGCATATGGTCCACTGTGATGGCAATTTGTCTGCACTTTTCACTTTCACTGTTTCCCACCCACCCCTTGCATGATCTGGGAAAGCAGAATGTTTGAGTAACTCTGTTCTAATAGAGATTTTTTCACATTCAGGGATTCCCCACAACCCGATGGTTAATGCAGGGGCCATTGTCATCAGCTCTCTCGTCAAGGTAAGGCACATGCCGCTATAACCCTGCTATCAGAGGTTGCTTGTTATGGATACGGGTAGTACAGAGAGAATATCGAATTTATTCCCCAATGGGTTGGGTGTAGGGAGAGCAAGCTTATTCTGCAACCAAACCCTATTCTGTAGCATGTGAACTGGAACAGTAAAAAGGCTATGCATTATAGGCCTTTTCCTTGGATGCTGGGCTTCTGCTAAACTATGGGCCGAAGTCAACAATAGCAACACTGAGGCAACAGCAGAGATAGGGAACTACTGTCCCTTGAGATGTTGCTGGACCAGAATTCCCATCATTCCTCATCACTGGCTGTGCTGACTAGGGCTGATGGGAGTTGCAATCTAACAACATCTGGAAGGCCACATTTTTTCCCAGCTTACAATGTGAAGATCAGCTTTGCTACTACCCTACATCAAATAGAATGCTGCTTCAGACTGAAGGTTACTGCTCAAGATTACAGTGAAATCATGAGCCTCGCTCAAGAAATTCCCATCATTCCTCATCACTGGCTATGCTGACTAGGGCTGATGGGAGTTGCAATCTAACAACATCTGGAAGGCCACATTTTTTCCCAGCTTACAATGTGAAGATCAGCTTTGCTACTACCCTACATCAAATAGAATGCTGCTTCAGACTGAAGGTTACTGCTCAAGATTACAGTGAAATCATGAGCCTCGCTCAAGTAAAGGCAAGGCAAGGGGTCCAATAGTTGCTAGAAGATAAAATCCCTTAAGTGCTGAAAAGGTTTGATTGTCACATGAGGGAGCTTTTCATGGTTCCCATTATTTGCATATTAGCTTGCTTTGTTTTATGATTGGTAATTGGGAGATAAACTGGGCTTCATTTGCCAGGGTGATTCCACAACCACAATATGAAATTCCCTGGATCAAAGAAGAGGACTCCTTTCCCATTCAGATGTCAGAGGACTCCTCTATCAGCTCCATCTATAGGGCCAAATCGAAGCCATTGCCCACATACCCTTAGATCTCCTCTAGGATACAAATCTCACATTATCTTTGCTTTAAAAAAAAATCATGGGTCCTTGTCTCAGCTTGAAAATTCAAGTTAGCCTAAATTGGTGCTTCTCTCTTTTTATTTTTTTCTCAGATGGGCTGCAAGAAAGCTGAGAAGTTTGACTATGTGAGTATGGCCTTCCTTCTTTTCCCATCCTATTTAAATATTATATTTTAAACATTCTTAGGTTTCCCCACCCAGGTCCAATAAATAAACCAACTGACTGGCGATATTGGCAGACAATGCCTTTGTTTTGCAATAAAAACATGTTCCAGTTTGTGCTTGCAGAATCACTTAGAAAAGTTTATACCAAAAATAAGTTATATTCTAGGCACCAAGGATGTGCTTTCAGGCGTGATTTATTCCCAACCAAATTACAAAGTGACCAGGAACATTTTTATAGTCTCCATAGGCTTTGACTTGAGGTAGCTCTGTGACAAACTGCTGAAGAGTTCTGCCATCTCAGTTTACCAACTTGAATCTCATGAAGACTACAACATTTTTTTAAATTTTTCCTAAAAAACAGTGCCTTGTGCAGTAATGAGTGATTATTACTCATAAACAAAACATTTTGTTTAGGTTTACAGTCAAAGAGCTAAACCCAATTTTTTAAACCCGAATAGAGTAGATCCATTGAATCACCCAGGACCTGGTAGGTCAGCACTGAAGTACTGTAGGTTCAACAGATGGACTCTACTTGAGATTGACAATGGGACCAAAGCCTAAATAAGGAACCACAAGAAGTAAAGAAAGAAAAACGGGATAAGGCAAGAAGAGGAGGGGCTGAATTGTGTTCTTATCTTTTTTTCTCTTCTAGGTAGTGGATTATTTGAAGAAGATGGCAGGAAATGAGTACGTGGGATTCAGCAACACCACGTAAGGCCAACGTGAGGAGGGAGGCAGGTGGACAACACTGCTTTTACAGAAGGGACTAATCATGTTTTTCCTGCCTATAATGTGAATAATATAAAATTTAGGGCAAGACTAGGATTAAATTGCCATGTTGAATTATCATTCCAGGAGTGTGTATGGACAGAGACAGGAGGGAGACGAGACTGTGTTTGTATCTCTTTATAGGTTTCAATCAGAAAAAGAAACGGGGGACCGGAATTATGCCATTGGGTACTATCTCAAAGATAAAAAGGTAAGAAAACCTGGGGGGGGGGAGAAGAGAGATTAAAAATATTCTTCTCAGTAGACAAGAGACAATGAAAACAGCCACTTTGGACTGGTGGATAAAGTGCTAAATTGGGATATGATGTATTGATCCATCCTTCTCAGTATCTAACATGGTTTTCTTTCTGCCCTTCCCTCACCCCCTATTAATTCTAATGCCACAGTGTTTTCCTCGTGGTGTGGACATGATGTCAGCCCTTGACTTGTACTTCCAGGTGAGTTTGCTTTGGGACCTCATGTCAGTCAAATATTTCAGCCTCAAGTATCCTTCTGAGCTAAACAAAATGAACACAGAGGGGGAGATCCATCTGAGGATGAATGAATATGGTATTTCCACTAAATGGGGCATAGCTGAGTTTCAGCCTAGTCATGTCTGAGTTTGGTAGACAAGTCCAGTGATTTTGATTCAGAGCTTGTACAATTATTTTTTGCAAGATAACCTATTGGCTGGATAACTAGATAGATGACTAGATAGGCGGGGTATAAACAAACAAACAAACAAACAAACAAACGAATGAATGAATGAATGAATGAATGAATGAATAAATAAATAAATAAATAAATAAATAAACTCATTCTAAGCACCACTCCAAAAGGGAAAACTGTTGACATCAGCATTGCAATGTTATTATTTTTTAGTAACTCATCCTGTTGCTTGTTACTTTGCTTTTACCTCTTCCATTGCTTCTTTTTTTGCCTTTAAAAAAATCAATATAAGTACAAAAATAGCTAACATTTGTAAAATCCTCTCAAAATGCCATAAGCACTTTTAGCTCTCCATAAATATTCGTAACATAAATAATGATCAGTGAAAGCCAAACAATGGATTTTCTGATTTTTTTTAGACTACAAATCCCATTGTTTTCAATTCTGTGAGTTCAGTCTGTCAAATAGTTACAGTCACATAAATGTGACCTGGGAGAAAGGCCTCAATAAAAATCTTTGTGACTGAGCTTGGCCTTGCTCTGTTCAAGCTTCCTGTTCTTTCCTTCTGAAGAACAACCACTCCATGGACACTGTTGGCACCACCCTCCACTAATACTAGTAATCATGATGTAATTTGAAAAAGAAAACACTTCTGCCTTTCAAGTATGTACTGTCATTAGTTATATAGCCTGTTACTTCAGGGTAAACCAGCCAGCATCTAATGGCTGGTTTACCCTGTTTCCCCGAGTCTGCATAGGGTTGGCATTGCAAGGCCCATGGAGTCTCTCCTTCCTCCTTTCCTCAAATATAGCTGTGCTCTGTGGAAGTGACCTGCGAGTCTGGCAGCGTCATGGCAGCCACCCTGGCCAATGGCGGCATCTGTCCTATCACCGGCGAGTATGTGCTGAGCGATGAAGCTGTCCGCAACACCCTCAGCCTCATGCATTCCTGTGGCATGTATGACTTCTCCGGGCAGTTTGCCTTCCATGTAAGTTTCTGTTGTCTCCCTTGAAGGGTTGCAGCCAAGAGCTTGCCAGGGTGGCTTCAGTGCTGGCAGAAAAGCTCTGGGCAATAGCACTGGGTGACGGGCATTTTCATGAAAGGGCTCTTGGAATCCTACAAGGTCCCCTCCCTCCGTGTTCTGGGAAAATGAAGAGAGAATATAATATGCCTGCCCGTGGGAAATCCTTTGGAAGATGGATACTGGCAAGTTTAGACAAGTACATCCATACGCCTCATGGACTTGTCTATAAATACTAGACTACAAGCCAGTGTACAGGTGTCCTCTGTGGTATCTCTGCACTCAACTGCGATTTGACGTTGTGCACAGACATTAATGCAAACCAGGAGCTGGAAGTGTGAGGCTGGAGTTTTAGGATCCCTCCAGTCTAGAACGGCTTTTATTCTTGCTCCTGGATGCTTAACAGCTGAAGCCATTTTGCTCACCTGGGGTTGCTGGGCCTGGAGCTGCCCACTGCAGGGACCCTTTCAGTTTTTGCACAGGCGGCTAGAGAGAGCCCGACTCAGCTTCCCAAGCTCTCTTTGTGACAGCCAATGATTCTCGTAACCTTATGCCCTCCTCGTATTTGTGCAATACAAACTCGGCCCTTAGCCACCGACTTTTGAAAGGCAAGTGCTGCTCAGCTACTCTCCTCAGGGGCCTCGTGGCCTTCTGGAAAAGAGGATAGCTGAGAATGGGCCACCCCTAGGACTGCACAGTGTAGAGCCCTTGCTTGGAGGGCGGGCCTAGATAGGCCAGACCAGCATGGCCGCTGTTGCTCAGAGCCACTCTTGCTCTACAAGATCTCTTCCTGCTGCATCTGAGCAGCAGTTGTTGAAAATGCAGACACCACTCCATTAATTGGCTTCTTTCTTCTGGTGTACAATGTATGGTCTTTTGCACTGGAAAAACACTGTCTTTTCTATTTAGTCTGCAAGGAGCATCCTCCATTGCACGGAGAGCCATTGTGCTGTAGTGTTAAAATGCTGGGCTGGGACTTGAGGAATCTGGTTTCCAGTCCTCCCACCAACTCCAGCCATGGAACTGACAGTGAGCATGTGCTAGTTACACTCTCTCAGCCTGACTTACCTTACCTGGTTACTGATCTAAGGCTCTCTCATACCCAGGTGGGTCTACCTGCCAAATCTGCAGTCTCTGGAGCCATCCTGCTAGTGGTGCCCAATGTCATGGGAGTCATGTGTCTCTCCCCTCCTCTAGATAAAGGTGGCAACAGCACCCGAGGGATAGGATTTTGCCAGGTAAGCGTCCCAGGTCTATAGATCTATAAAATGGGAGAGGTCCACAAGAGCCACTGAAAACTGCGGAAGAGACATAGGTCTGGTGGGAGGCAGCTTTCGGCAATCTCAGTACCTCTAAAGAAAAATAACAGCAAATTGTGCTCAGAAATAAGGACCAATAAAGCAAGGATGATGAAACACTTTGTATAGAACTTGGCAAAACAACAACACACCAAATAATTAAATAACACATTTACTAGTGGCTATAGACTATGTTCTCTGCCATAGATGCACCCAGAATGGTATATCAAATTTAAATAATAATAAGTAGCCATCAAAATCTTCCATGATACAACTACATTAAAAAGAAATAGTACATTTATAATCACTAATGCAATTTATAGCATTTCATCACTGTTTAGTTGAGGCCCGAGCTATATGTTACACAGAGTTCATAATTAGAAACTGACATCCATTAGATATGATTCAGGCAGACAATCATGACAGAGCAATCATACTGTACTGTACCGCCTCCTTCCATATGAGCCTACCCAGCAGTTAAGATCTAGCCAGGGAGCCCTTTTGAAAGAGCCATCCCTCAAGGAGATAAGAGGAATGGCTTGTAGACAAAGGGCCTTTTCGGCAGCTGCCCCCAGACTATGGAATGTCCTCCCAACAGAAATTCGTCTAGCGCCGACATTGATGACATTTTGGTGCCAGGTCGAAACCTTCCTGTTCCAGAAGGCTTTTAATTGAAATAACATCAACTGTGGGTCTTGATGGCAATTTTAATTGTACTTTAATCATTTTATCTTTTATTGTATTTTAATTGAATGTTAATTGTTATAAGCCACCCAGAGACCTTTGGGTAGAGTGGGTGGCATACTGTATAAGTTAAATAAATAAGTAAGTAAGTAAGTAAGTAAATAAATAAATAAATAAATACAAATGAAGGCTGCATTTTGACCAGTCACAAAATAAAGCAACCAACCTCTTGGTCAGAGAATCATGCCTTTTCACCTGAGTTTGAGGAATTGTGCTATCTGGAACCAAAACTCAGAGCTTTATATTTTAAAAGGGCTTGTCATGTTACCCATTACTTCTTGGCAGCCAAGTTGCTGTTATCATGACTGTTGCTCTGATTCCAAATTGGTTCATCACACTGCACATTATTAATGAGCTGTCATTATCAACAGGCTAGAAAAATTCAGGAAAGGACTCTCTGGTTTTCTCCAGCAGCCAATTCTAATATTTCACTTTGGAAATATTTCTAAAAATACAGAGTATAAAACTAAGAGTAATTCCTGTGTCACTCCGGATTCACACTGGGCTGAGCAGGGGGTCTTTCCGCACAAGGCTGCAGTGTTTTATTGAGAAGTCCAGGTGTCACCATCTTCCGTTTGTAACCTACACAGTTTTTCTACTGGTTTCTTCTATCCTTTGCTATTTAAGTTCTCCACCAGCTTCAGAGGCTAAATACTCTACTCCATGTATACAATAATAGAGAGCCATGGTTCTACACTTCTTTTAGATTCTTAACTCTTGCCAAGAATCAGTATAGCTAATAGTTACTCCATGGTTGTAATAAGCAATACCTGTTACTTATGTGTAAGAAATAATGCCTAATTACTGTTACATACAGCACTGATGGTTACTTTTAAAGGACATTTCAAAGCATGTTTTGGCAGGCATTTTTCATGTTTGGTGTCATTCTCTTTATGTGCTTTCTCCAGGAACTGGTCTCCTTGTTCAACTTTCACAACTATGACAATTTGCTGCACTGTACCCGCAAGATGGACCCACGCCGTGAAGGAGATGAAGTTCGAGTAAGGAGACAAAAGGCTGACAAGACTGAATGGCATAAGCAGATTGGAGTGGAAGGATGTGGTGGTAGAAGAGAAGCCAGGGGAATAACAAGGAAACTATGGTTGGGTTTGAATGGCTAGAAGAACGATCCAGGGCAGTGAATCCTGATTAGAGATGGGATATTTGTATTTGTATCTTTCAGGATACAAATATCCCATCTCTAGTCCTGATTGCAGTGGGCAGGCAGAAAGAGATGGGAACAGGACTTTGTGAAGAGGTGAGAGCAATTAGCACTGCGAAACACTGGCTGATCTGAAGTGCTTGGAGAGCCCCCTCCATTATAAGGAGGGTGCAGATTAGTACTGAAATTAGTGAAGGTGGTGGTGGTGGTTGTATCAGTAGTAGTAGGAGCCCAGGAAACGACTCCCACATAGAAACCCAAATTCTTTGTCAAGAATGCTCCACTTACAGCATGAAGATGAGAATCATATGCTGTAGATTTTACACTGTCAGTCTCTTTTGATAAGTTGTTTTAAGGTTTTCTTCAGTGTATGCATTATATTCCAACCCCGGAACTCAAGGAATTTTGCATTAGTAAATGCATACATTATGTTTTTGTTTTTAAGTAGCTCCAAAATCATGATAATTGGAAAACCTATTATCAGATTTAAGCTTTTGAGTACTCTGGGGATGAAACAGAATATGAACAAGCATAGTTGTTAGAAAGACTACACCAATGCATACCTCATTTGGTGTCTTTCAGAACAAGACTGTTGTAAACCTGCTGTTTGCTGCCCACAGTGGTGATGTATCTGCCCTTCGGAGGTATGTGCCTGCTAGCACCAGGGAGAGATAGTGGTGCAGGGAGGTTCCTTGAGCTGATATTCATCAGCTGATCTGGGCATAATCCAAATTGCTCTGCATGCCATTTGATTCCTGTTTGTTTGGCTTCCCCCTAGATTTGCTTTGTCAGCCATGGATATGGAGCAGAAAGACTACGATTCCCGCACAGCTCTCCATGTTGCTGCAGCTGAAGGTAGCACATTGGGTGCACAAATGTGTCATGGTTCTTATACACACTCTGTTGGGAGCAGCAGGTGTATGTGCATCAGCGGGCTTGCAGAGTCCTGATGTGCATCAGACCTTCTGCAATCCAAATTGTGCTATGCATCTCTGAGGTGCCTGCTAGCACCAGGGAAAGATAGTGGAGCGAGGAGGTTCCTTGAGCTGATATTCATCAGCTGATCTGGGCATAATCCAAATTGCTCTGCATGCCATTTGATTCCTGTTTGTTTGGCTTCTCCCTAGATTTGCTTTGTCAGCCATGGATATGGAGCAGAAAGACTATGATTCCCGCACAGCTCTCCATGTTGCTGCAGCTGAAGGTAGCACATTGGGTGCACAAATGTGTCATGGTTCTTATACACACTCTGTTGGGAGCAGCAGGTGTATGTGCATCAGCGGGCTTGCAGAGTCCTGATGTGCATCAGACCTTCTGCAATCCAAATTGTGCTATGCATCTCTGAGGTGTCCAGGTGTGTACTTGTGGGGTCTGGTGTGATCGTGGTGTTTCAGGAGTAATGGTATAGCTTGATAACAAGGTGCCACATCACTCCTAAAAAGAGCAGTGGACTGTTTCATGATGATCCTCATTGCATTCAAGTGTACCTTTTGAGACAGAAGGGCCCTGTCGTATTTAAAAGGTTATCAAGAATTTGGATCTCAGGCAGAGTATTATGGCATAAGGTCTGACAGTAACAACAAAAATAGAACAGCATCCAGCATCAGAACAACAGAAGGCATGAAAGGTCTCCATGGCAGCTGGGATTGTTAAAGGATTCTGGACTTTTAAATACAGCTGAACGTCCAAATTAACCTCACAGAGCTAGAGCCTAGGAAATGCTACTCTATTGGATTACAGATCCCATAGCCAGTGGCCCTTCTAGCCAAGGGATTCTGGGACTTGTAGTCCAAAAAAGCAACTTTTTAAAACTCCAATCACACCTGCATCTCCAAAATAAAAGCTGTTTGTTCTTTGAATTGCAGACATGTTGACAAAAACGACTCAATGAAAAAATGTCTTATGATATCAAGGACAGATTCTAGGCATTAACATTGTTTTAGACTGCCTGAAATCCAGTTTTGCAGCTATGCAACTCAGTGTACAAGAGATAAAAGTCTAAGGGGGTATCTTAACTTATAGCAACTCAGTTCCAAAAGTTAGACTTCTACATAGCTGCAAAACAGGTGTTCCAAGATGTGGGTCACAGGCTTTGTTTTGACAAGGTGTCTAATGGGCTTTCTGAACTGGCTTCAATTGTGTGGTTCTTCCCCAGGACATCTGGAAGTCGTGAAGTTTCTGGTGGAGGCCTGCAGAGTCAATCCCTTTGTCAAAGACAGGTAAGCTGAGACTGGGGAGAGGTACTTTTTGCCCCCATCCTTGGCTACATGTTCAATGATACAATCTCAAGACAGCACAAACCTAGACCTGCTGCCTTCTGTGTAGATCAGAGGTGGGCAACTTACACAGATGTGACTGGTCCCTGCCTGGAATTCTCAGGAGACCCCACCAAACCTAGGCAGCAGGGTAGCAAACTATTCTCTCCCCTCCCCCCATGCATACTTTTGCTTTAAAACAAGGCACACGACAATCTTGTGCCTTGCTTCAAGCAGATTTATGCTCTGGAAGGCAAGATTTGGTTTAAAACAAAACGTGTTCTCTGCATCTCTTGCTTTAAATTGAAAGTATAGGCGTAGTGGCTTTTTTGCCAGTGAATTGCCAAAATTCAGCACTTGCAGTGAGGGAGTATAGGGCCCACAAAAACAGGCTCCATTGTACCCATTTCTTTCATTACTGCTATCTGCTTGGAACTACAAAACTAATAAGATTGAAAGCAGCGCAACTGTAGAGCTGTAACTGGCTTTGCAGATCAGAAGTTGTAGAGTCCAGTTATAAACCATTATATGCTACTCCATCAGCGAGATATGCAAGGTCTCAAGGAGTGGATGGGTGTATTATGTTGTGAAGTTGGTTCCAACTTATGGTGACCCTGTGAATTAATGACTCCTAAAAAGTCATCATTGATAGTGCTGTTTGGGTGTTGTAGACAAACGGCCGAGTCAATCCAAGGCCTAGGCTGCCCCTTTCTTTACCCTAAATATGAAAAGTGTGTGTACATGCAGGTACACACATGCATAATGTTAGTTTTTCCTTGCCATCACCTTGCACAGCTTCTGCCCCGTTCTCTTTGACTTCAGAGTTGTCACAGCTAGAACAGATGTCCACTGCCTGGACACAGGCAGTGCAATATCTCAGTAAATTTTCTTTCATATTTAGGTTGATGTAGTGATCCATTTTGCTCCAACAATCTGAGAGGCTTTCAGTTTCTGCCAAGTTAGATCATCTAGTGATTCCCTGGAGAGAGTCACCTCCTCCTACAGCATGTACTGGGGAGTTTGGCATGCCCGAGTCATCTAGCACTGCTTGCTCCTTAGGCCCCTTCTCTAATATTTCTCCATCTGAAGCACAGTAGTCTGTGTTGTACAGATGAACAAATAAGGGACTGATTTGTCTGGTGCTGATGGGTTGGTAGGCAGAGGGTCATTTGCTTGTCTGTTACTCCTCAGTTAACAGCTGTCTTTATCACTTGCGTTTTCTCCAGGTGGGGGAACATTGCCTTGGATGATGCTATCCAGTTTAATCATCTGGAGGTGGTGAAGCTGCTCCAGGATTACCAAGACACCTATGTACTAGGACCTCGGCAGGATGAGGAAGCAGCTGAAGATCTTTCCAAGGAGAACTTAGAAAGCATGGTGTGAGAATGACAGAGATACCATAGAAGATTTTTGCATTGGCTGCATATTCTCAAAAAATACACAATTGTCACTTGTCTTTTCTTGAGAGGGAACAAGCAGAACGGTAGACTTTCTGGCACGAAGTATATCTCAAGTATACATAGACTTGAGGCAGGAAGTATATCATTTTGTTGAGCCTCTCTTCTGTTGAACAATGTGCAGTGTTTCTCACACACACACTCCATCAATGTAGGGCCTTCTTGTTTGTTCCATAGACAAGCTTGGTGTGTGGTGACACAACTGAGGAACTGAGCTGACAACCCTTGCAGTTAAGTTCGAGGCTTTCTCTCAGCTAGCATTTCAGCCAGAACTTCAGATCAAAACACGCATTGCAACCTAGGCTGAATGTCATTAAAGACCAAAGGAGAAAAGAGAAGGGGGTCAGTAGGATTATCTGTTCCCTCTCTTTCAGTTTTGGTTGGGGTTCCGGTAGAAGCTCAACTTTGCCATCACTGCCTTTATCAGAGTAGTGCAGAAAGTAGAGCATGCTTGTGGTATATGTAATAGATGGGAAAGCATTTCTGACAGTTTTTACAATAGCAACAGCAAATTGTTCCCTTCACTGTAAAATTTATTGCTGAAAAGAAAAGAGCACGGGGTTAACCAAGTGTAAATTTGTGTGTATGGGTGTGTTGATGTGTCAGTTGTAGTCCAGAGAGATTCCAGGGCTCAGTATTCTTGCATGTATGGTGTTTGTACTAGGCTCCAGCAGGTGGATTTTGAAATACTAGTAAAAAAAAGGAAGCAAAACACAGAGCATATAAGCCTGAAGTCTGTCTGTACACTTCTGCCCTTACATTTTCTTCTTGAGGAAGCTCTCCCTGTTTAACCTATTAGAGAAAGCCTACATGTATAAATCTGGTCTACTAGGAATTCCTCTGAGATTTTTATCTGCTCCTTTAAATTCAAAATCCACCATACCCTCACAGCACTAATTCAACAGGGGAAAAAAGCTTTCAGTACAAGGTTACCCACTTATTTTCTTTTTTTTAAATTCTCCAGTAAATGTCAGAGTAGTTTATAAAAACTGATTAAAAGCTGAAACATGAACAAGGAAGACTGCACAACATATGTATCCAAGTGCAGTAGTTCTTGGTATGGTTTTTGAGAGAGCAACAATAATTGCTGTGGTTGCCACTGATGAAGTAAGGACTGTAAACCTTGTTTTAGCTTCCTACATAACTCTAGAGCAAATGAAGATTCTGGGCCTCTATATGGTGTTGTACTACAAATCCCATCAACATTACCCAACTGAGCTGAACCTGGGAAGTCCCAACAGCATCTGGAAAGCCAGAGTTGCTTCTGTTGCTGCCGCCTCCTCCTCCACATTCAGTTCTCCTGCAACAGTACAGGTATACATTTACAGCACAATGCTAAACATATTTATACTCAACTACTTAGGACATCTTGAATGTAGCATGTGTACTCAGAACTGCATCCTAAAATAATTCCCATCTCTGTGCCTAATTGAAGTGCAAAAGAAGAAAGTCTCAAGCTCTTACAGAAGTCTTCTTCCCTGAAGCCTCTCTCCTTTCAGCAGCAATTCCAGCGTTCCTGAAGGAACATACGCTCTGTCACAATATAATTTCACACCCTGGAGCTGCCTGCTGTTCCACAGCTGCTGTGTAGACAAACTGCAAACTTTGCAGACTAATTGTGAAATCTCGACGTTAAACACTGTCCTTCCTTTTACCCCAAGAGTCCTTTACCAAACCGCTGATGCTTTCAGACACTGGTCAATCTAAGTAGTCCAGAACAGCACCAAGAAACCCGTCATTATTTTACATAAGTTCACCTTTATTGATTTTGATAGTTTCAGAGAGCTGCATATGGAACTTTCCTTTCTAGATTAAAAAATTATTCATCTTGATTATATTTTTGCAAAATAAAACCTCTCTTGAGAATAACAAGCACTTTTTGGTGTACAAGATCTCATAAGGCCTCTAACTAGCATGGCTTTTGCAAACTGTGCCCTTTTATGTGCCAACTCTCTTAACACAAAATATCCCAGGTTGGAGTTACATATCAACAGACCTAACCTGGATGTATTCCATTACTGCTGCCCTTTATGATACTGTACACATACAGGCTTCCTAAGCTCAGATATAGTAGAAGGAGATGGCGTTCTTGAGCTGTGTGATGATAAAGCAATTCCTATAACACTTGACAAGTGCAGCAATGTTTGTGAGCACAGGAGAGGGCGAGATCTCCACTGGGCATGTCATGGAGAGGGCAGCTGCTTTGACAAAGCCATGCCTGTCCTCCACCTAGGCCAGCAGAGGGCAATGCTCTCTTCCTCAATTGGAGGTTTCCTGCCTTGAAAGTGCCAAGAGGTACTTCTGATGAGAAGAGGGGTCTGTTTATGAAACTGAAGGACAGGGAAAGAACAGGAATGGGGAACCTGTGGCCTTCTAGCTGTCCCTGGACTACAATACCCAGGATTTATGACCACTGATTAGGACTGAGGGAAACTGAAGTCCAACAACGTATCAACAGCCACAGCTCCCCCACCCTCAGGATGAGGAAAGAAAAGGATATAGGTGATCAGAGGCATAAAACAGCTGTCAAAAACACATTTGCTACTCCAAAAAAAGGAGCAAATCTCTCCTTCTGCTGACTCCCAACCAAGATTTAACCCCTTTAGCATATTTTTCTGTAGAGATAAACCAAAGAACTGCTTCCAAGCCTCAGCTATTCTGATTTAGACATTAATCTCAGCAGGAAACAAAGGAAGTGCAGTTAGAACGTGGTCCTGTCACTGACTGCTTTGGGTAAAATTCTAAAGCGGGATTTCATTCTAAACTGGGATGGCTTTCGGGAGAGAATTGAGACCTCTTCATATGAGGAAAGCAGAACGAAATCCTCTGGCTTGACAGACAGTTTCCCCTTTGTTACATAGCTTTCTGAAGATTCTAGTCTCTCAGGTAAAGAATTCATCCAAACATCCAACGTTGGGCTTGAGGCTTTAGTTTCGGTTGAGCTGCTCAGGTATATTAAGCCCTGAATGAGTTAGCAGTTCCCCATCCCAGAGGGCAAAGGCAGGCACCACAGGGCCTTGGAAATCAGCAGGCATGCTATAGATAAACACATATTTACTAATATCCACCAAGCTAAGTTTCTTGCCTTCATAGTCCAAGAACAGACCTACTCTTTCTGGCTTGCCAATGTTATGGATGGGAGTCATTTCATTGGCAAACATGGCATTCCAGCGCCGATTCGCATAGGCAAAGACCCAGGAACGGTCATCCATTCCAATGCAGACTTCCCGGGAAACATCCACATCTGCTACCCCAATGCGGAACTGCTGCGATCGTTTGACGGTCACTTCCCAGTAATGGCAGCCACTGGACACTGCGCTGTCAGCCAGTACCACAGCCCAATCTCTGAAGCGTTCGGGGTTCTGGGGGGCTTTGGTGGGGTCAATCCCAAGCATGCGGTAGATAACACCAGTGTCCTTTCTGCACAAATCCAAGGAGCTATGGGTTGTTCTCTCATCTAGTTTGAAACTGATCTCTGCAATTAAAAATTACAACATGAGTTTGTGTAGTTTGTCATCTTCACAGAAAGGAACTCCAAAAAGCCCTGACCAGTATAATATTATATCCTGAAGAAAATTACTGACAAACCTTTGTCAGTGAAAACTTTCAGAGGAAAATATTGGAATGAATTGACTTGGAATTTTTTTTTTAATGAATCTATGAATCTAAATCGTAAGCGGTAAAAGATAAAAAGAAATATGGTACAAAAATTGTAAGAGGCATTTCACAGGTTAGTTTGGATTAGTCTTAAACCTTGCATTTGTGAAATACATTTTAAAACCATGTGAGAAATGTTCTAATGTATTGAAACGAAGCACAAGCTACCATTTCTCACTTTCTCTATGCCAGGATCAATTGCATCTTCGATAACGGGGCTCGGAAAATCCCAGCTTCGTCCTTCTATTAAGACAAGAAACTGTGAGACATGGAATGGGTGTTGCTGGACTCGATGTTTCGGCATCTTTAACAGCAACCCAAAGAGCAACAATTTAACTTTGGCGACTGTGAAAAACATAAGGAAACATTTCCCTGTGGACTTTCTACTTGCGACGCTGATCCAAAGGACGCAAACGCCTGGCGAAACAAAGCTAAGCCCTAGAAAGAGCACCAGACTCTCAGCCAAAAAACAAGTAGAAATTGGGCAGCAATTTCCATTAAGTTTAGAAGAATCCTACCTTTCCGAGGCACTGCTTCCACAAAACGATGCCCAAAGCCGCGCAAAAGACACCCTTGCTGCCTCATCCCTCTCCACATGGGCGCCGCCATCTTAGAACGGTACGCGTATACCACGTGAGCAGTCTGCACTTTAACAACAGGGGGCGCTCGCCCACTTGAAAGGGGGTGTAACGCCCACGCCCGTCAGGAATTGCTTCCGCCATCTTGAAAGCGTCGGGAGGGGTAGGGTTGTGAGCAGGAACAGCCGTGGAGCCGCCATCTTATTATTGGGAGCATTGCTTTCTCTGCAGTCCGCCTTGCTGGTGCGAAGTAAAGATTCGTGGGTGTACCGACACCGTCTTTTTCAGCAAGTGGTAGATGAGTGAACATTGGTAGAGTTGGGAACTTGAAAGGAGAATAAAATCACGATTGGGAACTACTGACGTGCATATGCACCGTTTTTGCAGGGAGGTGTGTAACACCAAGCATTTGATCAACATTTTACCTGCCCCTTATTCTCAAACATTCACATTTTTGTTGCTATGTTTTCTAATTTTAATTTATTTTTAGCGTTCACTTTCACTATGGTGCAAAAGTGCTAACATTATAAAAAAGATAGATTGCATTTTTTGCAGCAATGCCTTTTTCTTTAAAAAATAGTTTTCACTTTTATGCTATAATGCAAAAGCTGTAACATTACAAAAGCAGAATGCAGGAACAGCTGACATCCCAAGAATGTCAGACAGGAGTAGTAGAAGTCAGGTGTGTAGGAGTGGAGACTGACAAGCAGAAAAAATGCCTTTAAAGAAACAGTCAAATGACACACATTCACAAAGTGTGTGGATCAACATGCACCAACACAGTGTTGGGGTCCATATGAGTAGATCATGCATAGGGCAAATCACAGCCAGAATACCACCACCACCTGGTTGTAGAGAAAAAAACCCCTCAGAAAGCAAATTTTAATTGCATTTTGATTCTGTTGACACAGTGCAAGATTGCACACACCCCTTCTCTGTATGCCTTCTCCTTTCCCCTCTCCAAGCTCTGTAGCCAAAGGGAAGTGGAAAGGGTAAGTGGGTGTCTGTTTTCTGGCTGGCAATCAGCTGTGTTTTCTCCCTTTGTCTCTGCTGCTTGCCTTTCCCACCCCTACTTGAGCCCACCCCTCTTTCCCTTTCCCCAAATTCTGGCTTTGTACAAACGTGCCATTTCAGGAGACCAGAAATAGGGGCATTTGACATTCATATGTCATCTGGACGCAAGGATCACACCAAACAGCATATTGCTCCTCCCTCCAACCTCAACAAATCTACAGTAGTTTTAGTCTTGTGTCACATGGCTACTGGAATGTAATATTAGTACCATGGGTGCAAGGAAGGTTGAATAAATCCCTTAACGTGGATGGGCCTTGTATGATGGATATGGCTCTATTTCGTTTAGGCCCTGGATATCAGTTATCAAACTGTTTTGTTCCATCTCGCCTATATAATTGGATGCCCTTCTGATAATTTAATGACTGAAATCCTGTGGGCATACATTTATGCTACATAATGATTCCCTACTATGCCTGCTGATAGAAGAGCCATCCTGTGTAGCCTTGGCAGGGTGTACAGTCCCAGGATGCCCCAGAAGAAGGGAATGGGAAACCACTTCTGAGTACCCTCTAGCTAGAAAACCCTGGAAAGAGTGGCCATCAATTAGAATTGACTGGCCAGCAGTTTGTTTGTTTGTTTATTATGCCAGACAACATCATCCAGAAAAAAAATATTTAATTTAATTTAAAAATTTGTTTCCCCACCTTTCAAGTTCCATGTCTTCCTATGGATACCTTTTGCTCTTGATATGCCTTTGGGAGTCTCATGATTCATGGGGAGTACCTCTGATATCTGGGGAAAACAACTAAATCACTGGTGGCAATTTTCTGCGGTCTATCCAAAGTCTTCCGAAGAGCAAAAAGGATTGCTAGGGAGCACAGCATGGAGGAGGAGGTAAGAAATGTTTCATTCCATTAAATTAAAGATTCCCATTGCCAGATGATGATGTCATGCAGCTTATGGGAGTAAATTTACCAATAAGATGTCTGCCAACATCACTTAAGAAATAGGTATGAGCTGTGAATGATAATGTTCTATTGCTACTGATGATTCAAGGTCTGTTTGTTCACATCCACCAGTTCAACACAGATTTTGTGACTCCATTTCATCTTTCGTTAAAGCCAGTGTGAGTGCAATCACAACCTGACAAACTTTCCCTAAGCTTTTCATCTTCATAAGCCAGAAACATTGTGCACCCCCTAGTGAGTCCCCCTGCCCTAATTTGAAAGGATCACCTTCTTTAAGGCAGATCTCTCAAAGTTTCCTCAGCAGAGAGGCATCAGAAAAGTCTTACCTCCTTTGCTTCATCACTTGCATCAAAATGGCTGCCCTGGTGTTACTTTCTCAATCTTTGGACCTAAAGGAGTCTATTGGATGCTAATTAAATGTGACAGAGACATATGACAGCTGTAGGGTGTGGGGAGGTGGCTTTTGTTCCCACCTTTTCATTCACAGGATTGTTCTGGCTCTTTGCAACAAGTCAGCAAGCACTGGCCAAAGAAAGGAGAAATGAACAGAAAAAGAGGGAGCATATGCAAGTGAGAGGTTAACATAAGGTCCTGCTTTTGCTGAGCCAGGTGCTGACTTGACAGAAAGCAAGAGAGGGGATCTACTGAGCTCTCAACACATGGCATGCAATGGATGGAGCATCTAAAATTTCTGTTGCCACTGAGACCACTGTCTAAATCCCAGCATATCCATTCTGTAGTGCTAAAGCAGTCACATCTGGCAAGAGAACTGGAAGAAACAGTGTACAGTACAGTATTGCATACATGCTGGTGGGGAGTCGTTTTTAGAGAACAGGAATGTAGGTTTTTTAATATGTTCTGTGTTTCTCATTTCAGGTCAGCAGTGAGTGCAATGCTGGACAGGCCTCGGGAATGGAAGCTTTGTCCACTTTCCAGCTCGCTCTCACCATCTTTTCTGTATAAGACCATCGAAGGCATGAGATGGGCAAGCCTGGGACATTAGCCGTGGGCTTCTCTGTCATAGCAGGTGCACTGGCTGCCGTAAGAAAGCAGAACGCCAAACAACTAGCTGTCCCTTTAAGGAAGGTGTGAGAAACAACCAGCTCTTCCTCCTCCTTTTTGGCCTAGGGATCCAAAACATCAGTTTATCTTAGCAGGAGCCTTCTTCACCTCCTGTTGCAAATTAGCTTGTTTTTGTTTTGTGATCAGTCATTGGGAAATGGACATGGGTGTCATTTACAAGTCTTTGCTGGAAGGTCTGAAAAAAAATAAGGTACCTCTGAGCAGAACGTCCTATTATGAAATGGGAAACTGATCTAGTTTGATTTTTTTAGTGCTTTGTAAATAACAAGTGACAATGATAAGCTCCAGTTAAAAAGAAGATGCTGTAGTATCTTGGAGCATGAACCACAGGAGAGAAGTAAAAATATATCACTGGCTACATACAGTATGTATCATCTGATACTTCCTACAGGGCACATTCTTTGGAGGCAGCATGAACCCAGCTCGATCCTTAGGACAAGCAGTAGTAACAGGAATCTGGGAGCATCACTGGATGAATGAATGGTGAAAAGAGTGACATGTTGCCCTCTATCTGGCACAGTATATTTTGTTTGGCCATGCAGGCTCCTGATTTGCTTATTTAGAAGCTGGGGTGAGAATTGCTTTGAAATCCTCAATCTGGTTCCCTCCAGAATGTGTTTGTCAATACCTCCTCTGGGTGCTCTTCTCTATGCTTGTAAATACATTGACTGAGACCCAGTCTAAATCTTGGAAAAGTTACTTTTACAAGCTACAATTCTTACAGTCCCCCAGCCCCACATGACCCCTAACTGCACTGGTTTCCCTGCCATTGTTGATGCCCCACCATATTAGTTATACATTAAAATGGCCTCCTTACCCATCCAAGTGGCTTTAGTGCCACATGCTCTTCCCTTCCCACCTTTCTAAGGGATGGTGTGTTGGTTCAGGATGCACTTCATGCTCTCTTCCATTCCTTCCAGGTCTAGTGACGTGGCCCCACTCTGGTCATTGTCCTGGCTGATGTATCCTATGAGTTCTTCTTAGCTAGCAGCACTTCATGAGAGAAGCTCATGGCCTGCCTTACCTGCCGTGACAGGTGGAGGTGGCCAGCATCTCTCGTTCTCTGCTCCTGTCAAACTGTCTTGCAAGGGGGAACACGGCACTGAGTAGGAAGCAGCAGCAGGAACTTCCCATCTATTTATTTTCCTGTCAAATCACTCTGTCAGTAGTTATTTGCCACCTCACCTAGTTGTTATCTTCCATGTTTACCACCTGCTGGGCCGTGGCACTTAAAAGAGCCTGAGATCTGAACCTCTAAAAACAGCACATCAGGGACCAGCCCTGGCATTAGGCAGAGTGAGACAACTGCCACAGGGAGCAGATGTTCTGAGGTGGCAATGGCTGCTTCCTGGCTGTTCCTCATTTACAGCCAGCTGTTGGAGGAGAGAGTTGTATATGCCACACTAGCTGATGTGGGCCCCTTAAACTACTTTATTGCCTTAGATATGGTGGATGACACTGTGGGCTAAAGCAAGATCCAACTGCCTGTCCAACCACCTTCTGTGTGAGAGACGGTAATGAGGATTCCATCTTGTCCTTTGGCTCAGACAGTAAAATGTCTTGGGCTGGTCTTGCAGAACAGAGTGATATAGATAACACTGAGCCTTGGCTGACGCCTTCTGCATAGAGAATAAGAGGGTCTAGTAGGATAACACAAGGGAAATGGCTGGAAGTAGGGTTCCTGGTTCTCTGCCCCTAAGCAGGACACAGTGAGCTGCAGGAAGAGGTGTTCTGGTGTTTGTCCCAGGGTTGTCATGGTGCCTAGTGAGCTGACACTTGAAGAATTAGAAACAATGCTGTCGGGGTTGACTTTCATGCTCTGCTTCATTGGGTGACTCTAGGGGCATCTTTCCTGGGTCCTTCCCTCCTCAGAAGAATCACTGGGCCCTTTGTTCTGTTTGCCATATAGGTGGAGTTAAACAACAGGCCTAAACCAATAGTACTTTTTCTAAACCTGATGAATGTGTGACGCAGATGTTGGTCCTCCTCCCCATTAGCCTGGAACAAGCTGGGCCCGAGGAAGTGCTGAGTCCAGCAAGTCCTATTGTGCTCTCCTCTTTCAGGCCTGGCCATTTTCCTCCTGCCTGCCCAATCACGAAGCAGGCTGATAAATCCCTCGGAGACCAGAGAGAATTAGAGCTTGTTGAACAGCTCTGACTAAACCTCTGCACCAAAACGCTGTGGTGACAAATAACCCAGAAGCCTTCTTCTAAGCCCAGAGGGGCCTAGATTTATCCTCATCTCTTTTGCTGAATAGTTAACCCCAAAAACTCCACCTCCATTAATTCTAGGAAGCCTGACCAGGCCACAAAGGGGGACAGACTATAATACAGACTACAAAAAAAAATTGACACAAATGTATGAAGGCCCGACTCCCAACCATAAAAAGAAAGTTTTCTCTTTTTCCTAGTAGCTCATTTGGTTGAAAGGTCAGCATAGTTTTGAAGAACAGCTCCCAGCTCTGCCAGGAATGCTGGAACAAAGGGAAGGAAAAGAGAAAGAAAAAGATGCATATGGCCCTTAATGTAACAAGTCTGGCCAAAGAAATGGTCCCAGCCTTTCTGCCTGAAACTTTAACTGGGGGTGGTTCCAAGTGACCTTCAGTTCTACCATTACACTGAATTCATGAAACTTTACAGATGCTGCTCTCATAGCCCTTCTTTGCTTTGCTATTGCTGCCTCCATCTTTTATTCATAATGAAGAAAATCTGTAAGGGGAGAGAAGTATGGAATAATTACACCAGGTCTTCTAATAGCTAGTGTGGGGACTCCTCTGCTTAGAAGTGCAGAAATCTTGTATATTTGCACCCCTTCCACAGTAAGTCCAGGGAAGGTTGGAACAGCAAGGCTGGGGTCTGAGTGTGTATGCAAAGCTAGCTGCAGGAAGCATGAAATAATAGCAGAAAAATGTAGTACACACATTATGGGGAAAGCTTTTCTTCACAGTCAGCGGGATGGGCTTACACTAGGAACGTTAATTCCCCCCTCTCGCCCGCTCCCCCATGAGGTAAAGGGCAACATGGCATTGCTCTCTAGTTCATGTTTAGACTGGCAGTTGAATTTTATTTCAACAGAATCCCACAGCTCCATTAACTACTAACCCTGAAATCTGAGAACCCCTCAAAACGATAGCAATTTTTTGCAGCCGCTCCCCCATGAGGTAAAGGGCAACATGGCATTGCTCTCTAGTTCATGTTTAGACTGGCAGTTGAATTTTATTTCAACAGAATCCCACAGCTCCATTAACTACTAACCCTGAAATCTGAGAACCCCTCAAAACGATAGCAATTTTTTGCAATTTTTTGCAGCATTTTACAATACCTCTCTAAAGAATGTAACAGATACAACACATGGAGGATCCTAGTTAATACTCGAAAATCCAGTACTGTCTATTTCACTCTAAACATATGCCAAGTTTTTTTCCAGTCCCTTAACATTGCAGACTCTGCATTTTGCAGCACCCTCCAAAGAGGAGGAACTGGCATGCCAAGTTCCACCACTTTGGGTCTGGGTGTGGGTATGCTGCACACATAGAGTTTTGCATTGCAAAAGAATCTCGAAAATTACAGCATAGGCTTGGAATGGAAAGGACAATCCTAGATTTTCAGTATCAACTAGGAATGCCCATTTGATGCATCATTTCTACCACTTTGAAGGTGCTGCAGAAGGATTGCAAAACTCACAAATATTGAGGATTGTAGAGAATAAGGCTGTTTTCTACTGCATGTGAGAGAAGCTTGTTACTAAAGGGGGCATAGGGCATGCACAGATGCATTTCTGGTGTCCCCCTCACAGTTATGTGACTGGGGTGTTCCACTGGTATATTTTTGCAGACAGCAACCCATCTTGTATTCCACTGAGATAGCATGGCTAATGGTACCATGTGGTGTATCTTTAGTACAACATGTGCCCACCCTCTGTTAAAATACACCCTACACTACTCTAGCAAAGGTATTTTTATAATATTTACAGAATATTATTAATTCTGATAATGAAATAATGTATCCAAACATAATATTGTGTTTGAAAAATAATCTCAAATGCATTGGTTGGAAGTGCACAAAATGTGATACATATTTCACTAAGTAAGTTGTGTTTCCTTCAATGAATGTTATGCCTGTGTTTGAATTTTCCATTTCTGGCATTTTACAACAAAAACAATGAGATGTGGATCAGATGCTTATTATATATAACAGTGCTGTCAGCCTGTAAGGCGATAGCTTCAATTTTTAATAGCAAATTTTATTATATGTTAACAGACCCATAATAGAATAATAATCAGAGTCCTAACTAGAACCTTGAACCTTGTGGAATTTACCGTACTTGGTTTCTTAGTAGAATCCCATTAGCCATAGCCTGGTGCCGGAAAGATATACACATAAAGAATTCTGAGCCAAGGAATGTGTTTTAACTACCAGTGCTGAAAAGCACTGAAAAGTACCTTCAGTACTCAAGGTTACCTTCAGCAGTCTTCATTTCTGTAGTATAATTTTGGTTGAGTGAAATAATTCATTTTGCTGTTACTTCTTTAATTGTCAAACAATTAAAATATTTACCAGTTCGCTGAAAGTCCTTTCCTTGATACAGATTATACCCACCTTGGTGTTTCTTTCATCTCATGTCCTCAAGTGCAGGTTCCTGTTTTGAAATGGATGTGCTGTCATCTGGAAATGAAATGTTGTTCAATTAGGATTTAGTTATTGAAATATGCAGGGAAGCCAATAACACAAAGTCTTAACATTACATGGAAAACATATTCAGTAACTTTCACTCACAATGTAAGGCTGCTTCTCAAATTACAAATAAAATAGTATGCTACAAACATGTGTTGTATAAACCGCTCACTAGGAACGTTAATTCCCCCCTCTCGCCCGCTCCCCCATGAGGTAAAGGGCAACATGGCATTGCTCTCTAGTTCATGTTTAGACTGGCAGTTGAATTTTATTTCAACAGAATCCCACAGCTCCATTAACTACTAACCCTGAAATCTGAGAACCCCTCAAAACGATAGCAATTTTTTGCAGCATTTTACAATACCTCTCTAAAGAATGTAACAGATACAACACATGGAGGATCCTAGTTAATACTCGAAAATCCAGTACTGTCTATTTCACTCTAAACATATGCCAAGTTTTTTTCCAGTCCCTTAACATTGCAGACTCTGCATTTTGCAGCACCCTCCAAAGAGGAGGAACTGGCATGCCAAGTTCCACCACTTTGGGTCTGGGTGTGGGTATGCTGCACACATAGAGTTTTGCATTGCAAAAGAATCTCGAAAATTACAGCATAGGCTTGGAATGGAAAGGACAATCCTAGATTTTCAGTATCAACTAGGAATGCCCATTTGATGCATCATTTCTACCACTTTGAAGGTGCTGCAGAAGGATTGCAAAACTCACAAATATTGAGGATTGTAGAGAATAAGGCTGTTTTCTACTGCATGTGAGAGAAGCTTGTTACTCAAGGGGGCATAGGGCATGCACAGATGCATTTCTGGTGTCCCCCTCACAGTTATGTGACTGGGGTGTTCCACTGGTATATTTTTGCAGACAGCAACCCATCTTGTATTCCACTGAGATAGCATGGCTAATGGTACCATGTGGTGTATCTTTAGTACAACATGTGCCCACCCTCTGTTAAAATACACCCTACACTACTCTAGCAAAGGTATTTTTATAATATTTACAGAATATTATTAATTCTGATAATGAAATAATGTATCCAAACATAATATTGTGTTTGAAAAATAATCTCAAATGCATTGGTTGGAAGTGCACAAAATGTGATACATATTTCACTAAGTAATTTGTGTTTCCTTCAATGAATGTTATGCCTGTGTTTGAATTTTCCATTTCTGGCATTTTACAACAAAAACGATGAGATGTGGATCAGATGCTTATTATATATAACAGTGCTGTCAGCCTGTAAGGCGATAGCTTCAATTTTTAATAGCAAATTTTATTATATGTTAACAGACCCATAATAGAATAATAATCAGAGTCCTAACTAGAACCTTGAACCTTGTGGAATTTACCGTACTTGGTTTCTTAGTAGAATCCCATTAGCCATAGCCTGGTGCCGGAAAGATATACACATAAAGAATTCTGAGCCAAGGAATGTGTTTTAACTACCAGTGCTGAAAAGCACTGAAAAGTACCTTCAGTACTCAAGGTTACCTTCAGCAGTCTTCATTTCTGTAGTATAATTTTGGTTGAGTGAAATAATTCATTTTGCTGTTACTTCTTTAATTGTCAAACAATTAAAATATTTACCAGTTCGCTGAAAGTCCTTTCCTTGATACAGATTATATCCACCTTGGTGTTTCTTTCATCTCATGTCCTCAAGTGCAGGTTCCTGTTTTGAAATGGATGTGCTGTCATCTGGAAATGAAATGTTGTTCAATTAGGATTTAGTTATTGAAATATGCAGGGAAGCCAATAACACAAAGTCTTAACATTACATGGAAAACATATTCAGTAACTTTCACTCACAATGTAAGGCTGCTTCTCAAATTACAAATAAAATAGTATGCTACAAACATGTGTTGTATAAACCGCTAGTCATAGAACCTTTGAAACACATGTGTGACTTTTTCTGTGCACACCACAGATGTACACAACTGGCTGCAGTGCCGACAGTCATTGTGGCAGCTGGCTTGAATAGGCCCTAGGACATTTGCATGGAGTGTACACAAAAAACACATGGACATACCTCAAGTGTTCTAGTTCTAAAACACACACACACACACACAGAGAGAGAGAGAGAGAGAGAGAGAGAGAGAGAGAGCTGTAACAAGAATCTATCAACACCATTATATATTTACATCACGGATTGGATCAAGACTGAGCTAAGTTCAGAGTAGGCCCATTGAAATAAGATCATGCCTAATTTAACTTGCATTGAGTGCCATGGATCTACACTTATTAAGCCTACATCCCTCTAGCCCCTGTGTTTTAGTACAATCAAGTTTTTAGCCTCTCTCTCTCTTTTTTTTGCCAGTTTGATATGCTTGGTAGCCTGTTTTTCCATCACTGGATGGAAGCTTGAAGTTTGAAACCATGGGTGTTTTTTTTTGGGGGGGGGGTCCTTGGGAGGATTCTTGCCACCCAGAATCCTAAATCTTATTTGTTATTTTAATGCACAGAGGTAGGCACAGCACATTGTGGTAGTGCACACTACTGGTGTGAAGCCGCTATAGTGCTTTGCCTGTCTCACCTGCCCAAAAGAATCCAGCCAGCATTTGTGCCTTTTCCTGACAGCATGCTTCTCAGAGTCACTGCTGGCCAAATAGCTTGAGGTGGGGAAGCTTGCCTGTCAGAATCAGTTTAACAAGCACTGCTTGCATTCCAAATTATATCTGAGTGCTTGCTCATACACTACCTTGTCTCCGGAAACTATGCTCTTTCCACTTGGCATTCAGCCCAGAAAGCTTATCACAATGCAGACAGTGTACCTATTGCATTCTTTGTACAGGAAAGACTTAACAGTATTATGTACCGAAAAACTACAGAAGCCTCTTTACAATGCTATGTGACTGTCTTCAGTCGATAAAGTCCCTTCTGGAAGTGAATATAAGGAGGAGGAGGACACACCCTTCATAGCAGAAGGTTCCGACAATATCTACACTGTAAAGACACTCACAGATCAGTCCCCTGCCCTATCTTATGCTAATGTATCCTTAGACGTAATGACAAATTTGTCCCAGAAGCTGCTAACAAGTAACCCGATAGTAGACCCTCTGCTGAGAAATGGTTGGCCTCAAAGGAATAAGGAAAAGGACCAAGGGGTTGATCCATTAGAGAGGAAGGGTCCGGTGGCAGTAGCAGGACCGCGGACCATCTCTTGTGCTCAGTCCTTTATAAGAGGCAGTGCAGCTACCCAGCTGGACACTGAAGAGTTAAGAGACCCTGGTTAGTCAGACTCATCAGTTCCCACCTCCTGGGCTGGGCTAGGCTAGGGAACCATATAAAGCTCACAGTCACAGTGCAAACTGGCCAGCTTAGGTGTGTGTGTGTGTGTGTGTGAGTGTGTGACACAGTGCAAACTGGCCAGCTTAGGGGTGTGTGTGTGTGTGTCTGTGTGTGTGTGGAAGCAGCAGCAAGAGGAAGCTTGAGGACCATCCTGCTGACCTTCCACGCGGCCCTTCCCTCTGGCCCTCATCATGTGGGAGGCACGCTCAGCCTCCTTTTGGAGAGCTGTCTTCGCCGAGTTCTTTGGCACTCTGTTCTATGTCCTCTTTGGCCTGGGAGCCTCGCTACGTTGGGTCATTGGCCCCATTAATGTTCTGCTGGTGGCCCTGGCCTTCGGCCTAGTAGCAGCCACCATGGTGCAGTCTCTGGGCCACGTGAGTGGTGCCCACCTCAATCCAGCAGTCACCGTGGCCTTCCTGCTGGGCTCTCAGCTCTCCATCTTCCGTGCTGTCTTCTACGTGGTTGCCCAGGTGCTGGGCGGAGTGGCTGGTGCAGCGGTACTTTACGGAATCACCCCAGTAGCACTGCGGGGTAACCTGGCACTCAACACGGTAACTGGATGATGCAGAGTTATCTGGAAATGTTTTCTTTTCCTTTCCTCCTTTCCTTTTCCTTTCCTTTCCTTGCTGAGGAGAATGGTGGCATCCATCATAACTAATGAAGTAGCCTTGCTTTATCTGCAAGAGATCTACACAGAATAGTTTTTAAAATCTGGACCACTGGGCAAAGGATAAACTTTCTAGCCCAAGCCTTGTAGTGAGGATGTATCTGCTTTCATAGGAGATAAAGAAAGGCTTAGTCTGTGTTCCCTTAGGCTTAGTTAGCTGTTCCCTTGAGTGATGACAATGTTTTATCAACACCATTATGGCTTTATAGGTGAACAAGAGCCAAACAGTACAGAAGATTTTTTTTGCCCTATGCCTTTGTGTGTGTCGTGTGAGAGGAAAGAGTGAAAATATAAAGAAGCACAAAAATGGATTTGAAGAGAATTAGAGTTTTGCGATAATAGAATAATCAGAAGGAAGACACACAGATGCACACACTTGTGAGAAAAGGGAGCCACATTTTGTAGTCACATGAGATAACTGTGGAACTGCTTTGATTATGTTTCGTTTTAGTCCATCACACAGACAAATCTAGCATAAACCTGTTTAACTGATACAGTATTTAAAATGAAATCTCCTGTTTTTGTTATGTGATGTTTGCTGTTCAAGGGGCTTTTCACACTAACAAGTTCATGGGGCTTCCATCTGCTGGTTGAGACATGAGTAAGAATGTTGTTGTTATCAGGTTAAATATGGAAGGAAGTGTTAATCCCACAAGAACTGAGATGTTATGTTTATACTGATTTCACAGAGGTGGGAGTGGACCAGCTGACATTATCTGTCTGAAAATGCTGTTCATTTCTAACTGTTAGGCCAAATCTTAAATGCTGACAGTTCTGTCTCTGTTTCAGAGGCAGGTGTGTGTGGGTTAGTTTTTGGATAAGGTGCCTCTTAAATGCCAATCCATTAAGAGAGCAATTCTAAATATGTTTATTCAGAAGTCACTGCCATGGAGCTCAGTGGGACTTCCTCTCATGGAATCATAAATAAGATAATCACACAGAAAAACTCTGACATATTTTGAAAGAATGGAACAGAAAGCATTTGTCATTTCATGTGTTGGAAAATAGTTTCTCAGAGCTTGTTCTAAATCATGGCATGGAAATGTTGCATTTAAAGACTACAGCTCTCAAAATCGCCGACCAACATGGTCAGTGGCCATGTTGCCCTAGGACAGCGATGGCAAACCTATGCCACATATGCTACAGCTGGCACACAGAGCTCTCTCTGTGGGCATGTAAGCCATAAGTCGCCATCGAGAAATACTTAGCCGTCCTCTGATCCCAGATTTCGGCACTCTCCTCTGCTGGTGCAGTGGTCCAATGGAGGGGTGCAATGGTGGCCATTAACGGTCTAGCCTGATGGGGGATTGGAGGACCAATAAGTATTTCTTTGTTAATACCGCCCCTGGGGGGGGGAAAGCATTTCACCCTTGCAGTGCAGGGGCAGTTGTTTTTTATAAACGAAAACCTCAGTATTCAGGTTTAATTGCAGTGTTGGCACTTTTGAAATATATAAGTTGGTTTTGTGTTGCATTTTGGGCAGTCGGGCTCAAAAAGGTTCGCCATCACTGCCCTAGAGGATGCAGGGAGCTTCAACCCATAAGGTTTCTAAGCTGTGCCTTCCAGGGTTGGGCAATTTCTGTAGGGCTGAAGCCCCTTTTCAAGTGGGCTAGTTGCTGAAAAAGGGTGAGGCTTGTAGGGGGAAAAAAGAAGTTTGATAAAAGCATTTCATTATTACATAATATTTTATCATAAAAAAACCAGACAAACATTAGGCATGTCCACTGACTGACTGGTTCAAGAGACTGCCTTGCATTTCCTCGGTCTTTGCCTGAGCTAAGAATCCTTCGCATTATAACCGTTTAATTTGTAGAGCTTGGATTTGAACCACAAAATATGAATATTCATATATCAATTATCTGGGGGGAAATTCTGAATTTCAAGTGAGCAGCAACATAATTTCAAACTTTGAATTCAAACATAGGCAGAGGAATGTGAAACAAAGTGAACATTATAAAATTTAAATTCACTCTGCCTCTGCTTGAAATCAAAGTTTGAACTGATGCTTAAGAATTAAGCATTTATAATTCAAAATCTTTTCAGCCTTGACTGTCTCTCTATCTAACTTCAGTTCAGATGTATTTACAGTTGGGGAGCTGGTTTGATACCACGCATCAAATTGATACCTGTATCTACTGGTGGATATTAAAATTCTGTAAATCTGTATACAGTATTGTGTGGTATTGTTCCAGGGGAACAGGATTGTTGGTGCTCACAGTTTTTTCACCTAAAAATGAAGCTCCATGGAGAAAAGGCAAGGTCTCAATGTAGCAGAGCTTACAAATGATGGCAAAGCCTCAGAATTAAAACTGATGGGACTTTAGGTAGTTAAATATGTTACAATCGATATGTCTTCTCCAGAAACCACATCAGAATTAATAATCTCTACCCTAAACACAAAGGAGATTATATCCCCATTTTAAAATGTCATTTGTGATTGATGGCTCAATTCATATATTTTAAAGAGACTGAATTATTATGACCTGTCCTTCATCCTTTGCTGTTATTTAATTGTATTTTTATAATTATGCAAGGTCCTAAACTTCAGCAACTTGGTTCGCTCTCTTGACATGTGACCGCGATTTTTGGAAAAATTATGCTTCTTCTGCACCATCCACAGTTCTGGCCTGAGAAAGACCTCTGTGGAAACTGACATGAGATTTTTGAGTGCTGTAATGCCTTCAGATTGTGTACAAGGACTGTGCAGCCTTTTATTTACTTTTCTTTTGTTTTCTGGAGAGAGGCAGGGGAGTATTTAAGAACTGCTGGATAGCTCGGTGGTTTAAGTCTCTCAAGTCACAAGTTGGGAGTTTGATTCTTCACTGTGCCTCCTTGTAAAAGACTGGGCTTGATGATCCATAAGGGCCCTTCTAGCTCTTCAATTCTAAGCTTTGTTTGCTTGTTTGCTTGTTTGCTTGTATGTATGTATGTATGTATGTATGTATGTATGTATGTATGTATGTATGTATTTGACTTCTGTACCACCCATCTGTCTGCTAAGGACACTCAGGTTAATTAAGAGTTAATATTCAATTAATTATGATTATGCATTAAAGAAGTAAACATCTTGGCTATGCTTCCTTAAAATTTTGTCTAGTGAATGTTTTGTAGCCAATCTGGGTTTGTGAATAAGAAAGTGAAAAGCACTGGACAAAAGGAATAACGAGACAACTAGCAATCATTCTAGGGGTTCAAGATCCAAATTTCCTAGGATTATAAACTTCTGTGTGCATGTGTGTAAGAGAGTTTCTTCGTTGCTTGCTTGCTTGCTTATTTTTTAAAAAATTAAAAAAGATTAAAGCGCTACATTAATGTTTGTTCGGTCACATTCATGTGTGTCTATTTAAAAAAAGCAGCAGTACAATCTGGTCCAAGAGAACAAAGCTGCTGCGGGACCATGGATGAAATTCAGAGCTATGCATTTATAGCGGCCACATACACATCACCCGACAGGAGGCCATGTATCACCAAAGTGGAGAACAAAAATTACATTGATTTGCATAAAACTCCATATGTTGATTTATATGTGGAGGTGCAAAATTAGAAACAATATTTCTGTAGGTTTGGCCGAATCACAGTGCATTTATTTGAGTGTGAAAGACCAGCTGACTGTTTGCCTGCTGAGTCTGCTGCCCAAGTGCTGTGGATGGGCAACTTCAAGGTCCTGGATAACCCGTCTTATGGTTACTTATACTTAAATCACACTTGGACTGGATACTTCTACACCTTCAGCAGGAGGATTGTTCCATGGCAACCTTTCAAATGAAGAACTGCTCTCCCTAAAAGAAGATACATGACCACCTGATGTGCATTACTGATTTCTACTGCTCACTGCTAGAATGGGTTCTCCCTGATGAAGTCCAAACTACTTTGAAAAATAGAGCAGAAATAGATATGAAAGCAGCCTTTTGTAAGGCTAGTGCTTTGGGAGTGGTCTGACTGCAAGAAGCCCCTTCAAATCTTGTCAACCACTCCCCGTTACCCTTTATCACTAGCCCTGTTAGCAAGTGTTTTTAGAACACTTCTGCTGCACAGGCAAAGGGACATGATTTGGTTGAAACTAGCGGGAGAAAGGGGATCATAATATGGACGTAATAAAATCCCTTCTTGTGTCCCATCACCCCCATCATTTAAGTAATAGCAGTAAGTATGGTGTGATAAAGAAGGGATATGTGGTTTAATGTCCCATGTATTGTGGCACATGCTGTGGCACACATGCAACATTCATTTCAGGGGGAGAAGGCAGTAGACTGTACCACTCAAAGTGCAAGACTAAGATGCAGTGAAGAATTGAATCAAAATCTCCACCCACCCATAGGGATGACTCTGGACCATGGTGTGGTACCTAGAGGCCAAGTCCTCTGAGACTGCAAATGTTGTTGCCTATGATTAGTCTGAACAATAATGAAGATTGACATTATCAAGTACGAGCAATCATGGACTGAAAGTGGTGTTTGTTTTTCATAGGATGGCATCCAAGTCAATGGGCTCAATTTACAAGGCAAGAGACTTCAGCTAAACTTGAGCTGCTGCCTATTTGGCAGCTGATCAGACTGGCTCTGTTGGTGGTGAATTCTCCTTGGTTAGAATTGTTAAGCAGAGGTTGGAGCTCTTAAGGATGCTGCAGAACCTCTTTTCCCTTCTGAGGTTCCCTCCTTCTTTGTGACTCTGTTTCTGCTCCCTGCTTGTTGTCACACAAAAACACAAGTTGTACAATAGTCTGTGATGTAGTACTGATGGTGCGCTCCTGCTTTGGGGCAATGATTGATTGATTGATTGATTGATTGACAGTACTGTATACCCATACAATGAAATTCATAGACATCCAGAGATTGGGAGATTGAGATTAGGTGGCTTTTTTCCCCTTTATTTTTTCATCCATATATTTTCCCCATGGTATACAGTATATTCATCGCCTACAGTCACAGGATCCCTAAAGCTAAGTCAGGATAACTGACTTAACTGCTGAAGATTGAAGGCACCACTGTACAGTGGACCCTCGACTTACAGATGGCTCGACACCCAGACTTTTCGAGTTACAGACTTCTCTGGCCGCAAAATTTAGCTTTGACTTGCAGCCAGAGAATCGACCTACAGACCAGAAAAAAGAAACCAAAATGGAACAAAAACGGCTGGTTACGGGATTAATTGGTTTTCAATGCAATGGAGCCTCGACCTACAGACTTTTCAACCTGCAGCCACCGTTACAATACGGATTAATTCCGTAAGTAGAGGGCCCACTGTATTAATTAATCAATTCAACACCTGAGGCAAAATACAAGATGGCAATCCCTCCCCTATTCCATTTGCAGACTCTGACTTGATTGCCGGATGAAACTTACTTCAGTACTGGTGATAGCATTCTCTACCCCCACCTTGATGGTAGTAGACCAATTTGAGGGATTTTGACAGTCACATGGCACAAGCAGGTATGTTCTGGAGCAGAGGAACTTATAATAAATAGCTAAGGAACTGCCATTGCTTGTCCTAATATCCGTTACCAGAAGCAGTTGCTCACCCTAACAGCAGGACTAGTTTTAGCCTTGTCCATCCGCTAATCTGACTGAAACTAGTTCTGAAATCAGTGACATTCATATCACTTAGCCTTGTCCATCCTCTAATCTGAGGATGTTCTAGTTCTGAAATCAGTGACATTCATATCAGCTATTAAATGTTTTACTTGCATCTTCACATCCATGTTTTGATCAGTCTCCACAAACATCTATTGGATACAATATATAATCACTGCTATCTTTCGTGTGGGGCTGCTGGCAAGTCTTTGTTATTGCCTCACAGTTCTGTCTTTCTGTATATTTTCCTGGCTGCAGATGCATCCCAGTCTAAATGTAGGCCAAGCTACCGTTGTGGAGATCTTCCTGACCTTACAGTTTGTCCTCTGCATCTTTGCCACCTACGACGAGAGACGTAATGGGTACATAAGAAACATGGCACTGGCCGTTGGAATCTCCCTCACTCTTGGACACCTGTTTGGGGTAATGACTCAGTGTATAAGATGTTGCTCTCTTAGGCACCACACAGAACAGCTAGGCATTAGCACAGTTCAGCCCCAGGAGCAAAGTCTGAAGACACTCCAGAGAACAAATTCTTGGTCAATACAGATCAGAAGGTCAGAAGACAGTACAGAGGTCTAAATCCGGTGTGGGCAAGGTGTGCCCCTCCAGATGTTGGACTACTACTCAGCTGTAGGCAGCATAGCTAGTGGTGAGGAACACTGGGCGTTATAGTACCAATAACAACTTGAGAGTAACATTTTGCTTCCAAGAAGGCTCCAGTGACAATCTAGGTAGTCAGGGAACCCGCAGACCTGGGGACTAACACACAGGCATTGCTCTAGTGTTGCATGAACAGCCCTAAAGGATTTCAGGGCCCTCCTCAAAACAAAGGTGGAAGCCATCAGTGCCTCCTTAAGAATGATCCCTTGAAGAGGATTGACTTCCCCATAAGTATCTCTTGTTACATGGAAACACGATTCCTCTGTTGGGCACTTATTTTTTTTCCTAGCCAACTGAGCAGATGATTTTAGCTGCCTGTGCTTCCTAGAATTTGGTGGCTCCTGAGCTTCAGAGTGGCCTATCACCATCTACAGAAGCCATTATCAATGTTTTTTTTTTTTGGCCATAAACATAATATGAAACAAATATAGGCTGAATCAAGATTGAAAAGTCACACAACAACATTTAGAAAGCGGTGTGTGAAGAACTGTTTCCAGGCTGTGGCCCCACTTCAAATGTTCCAGAGGGCCCTGGAGGGCCATATGCCCCTCCTGCAGAGAATGGCTGATTTACAGGGATTTGTTTATTTTATTTTAATTTATATCCCCCCTTTCTTCCAATGTTGAGACTCAAGGGCCTGAGGTCCCGATCCCCCACCAATCTAGGCTACTCTTTCATGGTGTTTGGCTCAATAAGCTTAAAGGCATTTTCCAAAGAGGAAATCTCAATCAGAAGCATGGCAAAAGCAGAAATGTGATGCCTGCTGCAATACTTCTAAAACGCAGGGGTGTATAGTCTCTGTCATTGACATCCTGTAATTAACATCTTGGTTCTAAGATCAGCCCCACATGGCACTGCCCTCCTCAAACATAATTCTACTTGGTTATTCCTCATTCTATTTATAACAAATTATTTCATCTCCTTTGCTATTGAGATTCTTGGGGCAGGGTACCTACAATATAACCATGGGGGAAAGGATTTCCATTCTGCCACTCTTGGTAACTATATCTGGGAGTGAAAGGGCAAGAGCACAATGCTCTTAAGAGTGAATTATCACTGCCAATGTAAGAGTCTATATGGCTGCAGTTTTGTAGAAAGCATGGCAGCCATTTAATGGGTCCACTACCTAGGCTCCTACACACGAATCCCATTACGGTTTTATTAAGGGGGTTGAATGTGCCTGTTTTCCAGAGACATAGAGATAGTTGATGTACGAGAGAAGCCATTTCTCCATCCTAACTCTATTTTCTTGTAGATATACTACACAGGAGCAGGAATGAATCCCGCTCGATCCTTCGCCCCTGCTATCATCACCCGCAACTTCACCAACCACTGGGTAAGGTATCTGAGGGTAAAAGTAGTCATGATTAGTTATGTAACAAACATCTCCAGTTAACTGCTGTTGGGAAAAGCTACAAGCTGATCAAGATTGAATCTTCCAGAGCTCTCCTCCATGTATTCTGGAGAAGCCTTTTCCCCCCACATAAAACCAGAGTCCTTGAGTGTTTCTGTGGCTACTTCTCATGAAGGCACTTCTGAGAAGGACTGCCAGGTTTCCTTATAAATACAAAGTTCAAAATGGGTTACTTGCTTGTACGTATGTGCTGTTAAGTCAATTGTGACTTATGGGGACCCTTTCTAGGGTTTTCCAGTTAGAGAATACACAGAAGTACTTTACCATTCTCTTCTTCTACTCCATGCATTCTGGAGAAGCCCCTTTCTTTTTACTACTGGGACTGTGTAGCTTGCCTGATGTCTCACAGGCCGGCTCTTTTGGGACACACAACAGGGAGTTAAACTCCCACCTCTGTGTAGCCAGATACCTAAACCACTTAGGGCTCAATCACACTGGCAATAAAAACCAATGTAGAATCAGGTTTTGCTAAAATAAAATTGATTTTAAAATTACCAGCTACACAATCCACAAGGAAGCGTAGTTTTTTTTTGCCCAGGAATTATTGGTTTTTTAACCAGAAGTTAGGTATTTTCTGGCCCAGCAGAAGGTCATCAGTTTTAATGTGGATGTAAAATCAATTTATTTTTCGTTGGTTTGGCATATACTCATCAGTATAAATTGTATCTGTTGCCTGGAGTTAGCTACCTCCCACAGCCACTCATGGCTTCTGCTGTGGGCTTGTTTTTAATTTTCAAATCTTTTTTCAAAGGGATAGCAACAGTCTGACATGACAGTGGAAATGTAAGAGTCAGCAGAGAGCGAAAGAGAGAAAGTGCTCCCCTCTTCTTTGCAAAGTGGAACTGACCAGTGAAATTGACATATTGGGAGCTTCTTCACTTTTAAGAGGTAGTGCTTGGCCCCTTTCTCTCTCTACTGGCTAGTAAATTTCTACTGTCATGTCAAACTATCACTATACTCCTTGGGGGGGGGGAATTAATAAAAATAAGCTCACAGCAGAAGCAGTGAGTGGTTATGGGAGGCAACCAGAGTCAGGATAGACAGGCGCAGGACAAAGCTTCAAAGTGAAAACCGCGGACATGCTGGTTAATGAAACAATTTTAAATCTCACGTGTAGTTTCCTGAAGCAGTTTTAAACCCCTACTTTATATTAGAGTAATATTTTTTAAATGAACACACACAGCAATACAAAAACCATGTGACTGTAAGTAGATACAAAATACTGTATATTGGAGCTGAAACTGATAAAAATCAGCAATGTTACGGAGCCTTGAGGGTTAAAATACTGTTTCAAGGAAATATTTGGGTAAAGGGTAATTTGGAAGAGGACATTAGAGTGCTAACGTAAGGGAGAGTTAGAGTAGGTCCATTCAAATTCATAGAACTCATGAATCCCCATGGATTCAATGGGCCTAATCTAGTACAATTTACTGTACTGAACAACAAGATTTTGGCCAATGTTTTTTATAATAGATGAGAGACATTGGAGAGGGACTTCATGTATGAGTGCATGCCAGAGAAAAAGCTGCAATAATATGGCAGTATTAGCACACGAAGCCCCCATCATATTCAGTGAATGGGGCAAGGTAGAGACATGATAAAAGCCTTGTCGGGAATTGTTCACACAACAATTCTCTGTTCTCTCTTTCCTCCAGAGCATTCAGATAAGGTTACTGGTAGAACATTGCATTACCTTTTTTTCCAGTGCCCTCCCAGACATATTTTTTTAAAAAAATGATTTTGGACAAAGGGCAATAAAGCACAACTGTAAGTACCGTACTCTCTTGTGCAACAAGTAAAGAACTTTTGAAGTTTTAAAGTTTTTCTGTAACATTAATTGAAACATTTTCTGTCTCCAAAGTCAGCCTGTTCTATTGCTTCTTGATGAGATAGAGTTCATTGGCTTCCCTTAAATCATTCAAATGCCAGCCTTTATTCATGTGGGATGGAGTCCTATATCTAGAATCTTTCAGACATCTCCTTTGTATCAATTAAAGGCATGGTTTTCTTGCTCACTAATTTAGACCGGAGGTTTCCTGACCTTCATATGACGTTCTACTACATGTGATTTAGCGCTACATCTGTGCCCTGCAAAGAGCAGTGTTCGCTCCCCTTACTGCTTCCAGGCTAGGCTTTTATTATTCACTCACCATGCCTCAAATGTGGAGTTTTATAGGTGAACCAAATAAATGTTGCCTTTCATTTGCAGTCCTTCCATTTTTTCCCACCACTTTTTAACACTGTGGTTGGGTGTGGGGACAACCCAGGCTTTGAAAAAGTTCCTTTTGGGGGATTTTGTTGAGCAGTAAGTCTTGCCAGTACATATAATCAAGTGAGATTTTGCTACTAGCCAAACACTGCCATTGTGCACACAAGAGGGCAGGTTTTCTTCACAGAGATCACCCATTGCAAACAGCAGGGTTTCTGTAAGTGGCACCATCTGGCATACAATTCCAGAGGCACTCTCCTCTCAGTAGGAGCTCAAGGACTATACTGGCGACTAAGACTTCCAGAATGCTTAGTCAGCTTAGTGAGCACTTCTGCTGGCTCCAGGATTCTAGGAGGTGAAGTCCAAAAACTACCTTTTCCAATCTCTGAGTCCCCCAACTCCAACTATATTGAGAGGATATCACAATAGGTGCCCACTCTCCTTTGATTAGTACATAACACTAGGGTCTACTCATCTTGGGGGTACTCATTCATATTGATCTGTGCAAGCTCCTCCAATCCAAAATGATGCTGCCTCTGATCACTGCCAACCTCTATTGACATTCAAGAAGGTCTGATTTTTTTAAGAGACCTTTTTCTTGCAGTGCTTGTATGCGCATGTATGAGCATGTGCACGCACACACTCACACACATGGGACACATACAGAGCGAGAGCATGCCCAGCATGTATTTTGTTGCTTCCCTTTTCCATCTGCCTCCTTCCCTCCTTTCCAGGTGTACTGGGTTGGACCTATCCTCGGTGGTGTGATAGGCGGCTGCTTGTATGACTTCATCCTCCTCCCGAGGAGGCGTGGGGTCTCCGAGCGCCTCTCTATCTTGAAAGGTGAGCAGCAAGCTGAACTCAGTGCGCCCCCGGAGCCTCCAGAGGAACCTGTCGAGCTGACGACGGAAGCACTATAAACAGAGGCCATAGGGTGGCAGAACCATAGCATACCCATTCATCCCTTCTCTGGGGAGAGAGGGGACAGAAACAACTGGCCCAGTATAGAGACTGTTACTGCTCCTGGCCAGTAGGGAGTGGTGTCTTAGGAGGCACAGATCTGAAGGGACATTTTGTTATCCAGCCTTTCACTCAAAACAGACAGACCAACCCTGGGACAACAGAATGGGGAAAGCAGGTGGGGTGAGGTGGGGGTGGGAATGATAGCATGGCCTAGTTTTTAAACCATTTCTGATGCGGTGAAAAATACTGGAAACAGTTTTACAAAAAAAAGGTGTAGGAGAATTAATTCCATCTGACCTTTCCCTTCGAATTCCTGGAAAACGCCAGAGGTGCCTATGCCTGTGTGTGCAATTACATCTGTGGAGTCCTTGCCAGTTAGGTGCTGCATTTGTGCATGCGCTGCTGGTGCACGAAAGAAAACCCTGAACAGCATCTGTGCTCCCTTCATATCTCCCCAGTTAGACCACTTGCATTTCACTGTTTTTCTTTCTCGTTGTGCCTTGTCTCCTAATCGTCTGGGCCTATATCTCTGTTGATTCTAGCAAGGAACAGAGGCTTGGCTCAAGAGGATCAGGGGACTGGATGAGGGGAGGACATGTGACAATGGAGCAGTGTGGATATGTGGGATGGAGTCCTATATCCATGTGGGAAAAGGAGTATATAGTATTTGCCACAGGGCCTGTCTAGACAGGAGAATTTGGAGCAGTCTGGTTCACACTTAAAAGTTTCAGTGTGATCTGTTTTATCTCTCAATTTAGTGATACTTCTGTTTGCACTGGAGATGTTTCTTCTCTCCCATGACAGAAGTCCACACAGGCCTTTGGATTACCAGTTAACTTACTAGCAAGTTTATTCAGTTTACTTGCAACTAAGGAGGCAGCAGGAACAGCAGCTGAGGACAGCAGCAGCATGAGGGAAAAATACTGGGTGAAGATTGGGGAGATGGTAGAGATAAACTCTCCTTTTTCCTGCATTTCTCCTCAGCCAGGGTAATGCTGGGCTTCTGCTGCCTTGTGGAGGCAGAGCTCATGAAGTCAACATAACTTCCTTCCCTGCCTTTTCTCATGGCTGTCACTCAGTGACTTTCCTTTTTTTTTTTAAAAAAAAATGGTTTTGTTTTGTTTTGTTTAATGAAGTGGCAATGCAACAACTTAGCATGGTTTTAGAATTTTGCGGCCTCAGCTAGGGATTTTTAAAAAAAATAAAGATGAAGATGAGAGGGTTTTCCCCCCTCCATCCTCCCTTTTAACGTCACAATCACTTAATACATCATAGGGTTGTCACCTCAGTTAATGTCGCACACAGGTCCGTGAAGGTGTGAAATAACCATCTGCACAGGCTACACAACAGGATAATTAGGAGTATCAAAATTGTAGCCCCTAGCGTCATGTCAGAAAGGAGCAGGATAAACTCTTAAAGGGGCAGGATGGATCGGTCTAAATAGATACACATTCGGATGCAGTAATTTGGTTTGAACCAAACTATACAAACAGTGATCTAAACAGCAATCTGTATGGAAGTCTAGACAGGCCCTGTGTGTGCACATGTGTTTGTATATGAAATTGATTTGCTCTAGATGGCAGTGTAAGGCTTGTCACCAATGTACAGTATAAGGACCAGCTGCTCATGCCTCTCTTAGGTCCCTCTTTAAAAGTAATTCTAATGGCCGGGCACTTTGTGAAATATAGATTAGCCAACTCTATCCACCATTTTAGTTTTCTGCAGTGCCTCCAATGTACTACTGTGCAGGGTGCCAAGAGATATTAAAATGGTATCTTAGTGACTCAGCCACCTTCCATTGCAACCAGATATCCCCCCCGTGCAAGGCCCACTGACTGAGGAGCCATAAGATGGCATTTTGAACACCCCCCATATTACCCTTACATGATTCTTGATGGAAAGCTTCCCATGCTAGCAATCAGAACGCACAGAAAGTGAAGTTACTCCATCTTTTTCTTGTTTCATGGATTTGCCTGGTAATAAAAAAGGCAGATGATGCAGTGGACAAGCAAGGGAAGGGCACTGGTGGGGGACAAGACTGCATGAAGCCCCTGAAAGATTTTAGTGAAGCCTCATCTTTGGACACTCCTGAAACTGGCCTTGCTGAAGAGGGAACCTGGAACCTTCACCAATTTGGTCTGAGGCTTCACTCACTGGCCATTTTAAACCTGACATGTGGCCCTCAAAATGTTGAAAAATTAAAAACATCCCTGATTTGCTTTATGGAGATAAGAGTCAAAACTACAGTAGACCTAACCACAATAGGATGATTAGAGAAGGAGCTACAGGGATTTGAAGAAACAGAATAGCCGAATTCATCTCTAAGTAAATGCCTATTACAGTACAGTACTGTATTTCTAAAATTCTTACCATACATTTTCATGGTTAGTTTCCCCATGCCCCCCCCGGAAAACACATGAATCAAATAAAAGTATAGTATTACAAAATAATGATAATAGTAAGATTGGGCTTCACTGTTTAGGAAGTAGAAGATAAGACTTGTGGAGATTAAATCTGCTGCTAGTTTTTTTCTCCCTTTGTAAGCTCAGTAGTAGCTGGATTGAGTATCCAGGGCCAGCTTTATGTTGTGTTGAACCCCAGGCCCAGAGCATTTTGATGCCTCTTTCTTACTATGACTTCACAAGAACCAAGCAGGGCTGGCATGTTTGGAGCCAGATCTAAGTGGGCCCTTTGTTGTTGTTGTTATGTGCCATTAAGTTGGAACTGACTTATAGTGACTCAAATATGGCTTTCAAGGTAAGATATTTAAGGATTGGCTTTACCGGTTCCTTTACCCCAGTGGGTTTCCATGGGTGAGTTGGGATTTGAAGCCAGGCCTCCTGAGCCCCTCCTGTGGTGTCCAACCTTGGCCCGCCAGATGTTCTTGGACTACAACTCCCAGACGCCTTCACCACCATCTCTGCTGGCCAGGATTTCTGGGAGTTGAAGTCCAAGAACATCTGGAGGTCCAAGGTTGGACACCACTACACCTAGCCTATCTGCTACACACCACTCTGTGCGGGCCCTTATTGCAGTGCTGTCCCTCAAAACATTGTTATCACTTGAGAAGCATATCTAAGGAAAACGAGGAGTGGCTCCACAGCAGCACTACCTCCTAGCCTCCCCTAGGAGCAACTACGTAGTGGCCATATCAGGAACGGGATCTGATGTTGCCAGATCTCCAGGCTGGGTAGGCATCGGCCCTGATAGCATCTAGTAGCACATGTGGGCTCTTGACCCTCAGTGTGTCAGATACTGATACTAGGCTGGCTACGAATGCCAGTCCTGAAACCGGAAGCTTCCCACTACTGTACATCTATGGAGCCCAGCTGTAGTACTCTATTGAGTACTTTGGGGCATTATGAGAGATTTAAAATAGCAGGCATGAGGATGGCACCTTACCATGTTCCCCTATAACACTGAACCAATCTTGAAACCAGGCCAGATTCCTGGGATAAAAATAGTCCCAAACTAAATAAACAATGTATTTATTTATGCTTATCAATCTACACAGATCATCATTATTTCATAGTTGCTTCCATGAAACTTCAGATAAAGTACTTGTCTCTTTCTCAGCTGATTTCATCCAGATTCTCACCAGACCAAAATCAGTTTAGTTACAGCAAGAAAGTCCAATTCTTTATTTTTTATACCATGACTTGGCAAGACCCCCACAAAATGTTGGCAACTCATGGGGGATATCTTCCATTCCCCCCCCCCCAATGTCACCACATTTTAGGCAGGCAGAAGCTTTACCTGTTTTGAAGCTGAGTAAAATACAAGACTTCCCTCTTCTCTTTACTCCTCTGGCATTTACAGAGGAATTTAGATGTTGTTCTTGTTGATTTTTTTTTCATATTATATTGATCTCCCCTTCTGACTTCTCAAATATGCTTAGAAAAGTAATGGTTGTGGGCTCTCATGCATTACTTTTTCTGCCTGCTTCAAAAATCAGTGGAAAACAAAAGAAACTCTTCATCACACACTTCTGAGGTATATTAGTAGTGATGACTACAAATAATTAACTCCTGTCCTAATGAGCTGTAATGTGAAAATGTTGGTCCTCCAACAAAATTTGCATCTTGTAAGTAAAAATAATTACCAGATTTTTTTTCTTCTTCTGAGGGATTCTGGAAAAAAAGCCAGAATGTGAGAGCCTGATTACCCTTATTTATCTCAGATAAATAGGTTGAAAGCATTATTTAAACTAGAATAATCAAACAGAAAGAAAGCTCCCGTAAGAAAGAATCAGCATGGCTTTTAACAAAAGCCCAGTTCACCAAAGTTTTAGAAGTTATTTGACATATCAACAAAAGTACAGATGGGACACACTTTTGTGACAAGTTCTTTCTCAAAGTCTTCTAACTAAATTTAGTCCATGGGTGGATTGTGCTAAACAGAGTTGCTTTGAAGTGTGTCATGTCATTTGGGAAAATGCAACGATTGCACACCACACCTCACCTCAAAAGCACACCACACCTCAAAAGAACCATATTTGGCCCTTCCTCCTTCTAAAGAAAAAGGGAAATAAAACAACAACAAAGCAGGAGGAAGCTTTCCACCTTTTTTTGTTATTATTTCTAAGTAGTACACCACTTAATTGGCTTGTCAAGCAAACAATTCAGTGCTTTACCCTTGTGTTCTTCATATGTACTAGACCACAAAGTTCATTATCTGGAGACATCATGGCCATGATAATGTGGTCCAATATATTTGGAAAGCAGTAGGCTGGAGGAGGAAGATGAACTGTGTGGAGAGAATGAGAAGAAACAACATTTGGCTTCCTTGTTGTACCTAATCTTGGGGTCATCTGGTGAAATCAATGTGCAGCCAAGTTTGAATTGACAAAATGTCTCCACATAATTTATTTAATTAACTTGCACAATAGGATGTCATTAGATATGGTGTTGGTCATTGGTTTGGGTGGTTCTAAAACGAAGTTAAAATAATGTCTATTCAGTTATGTAAACTGAAAAAAAGTCCCATCTTTAGAAAGGAAGCACATCTGAAAGTCAACACTGAGGTGACGGGATTGCTGTCTTCATGCCATGTTTATGGGCTTCCCAAAAGACTCTGGGTTGGCATGTATGGAAATATGACGATCGACCCCTCATTTCAGCCAAATTCTTATGGAGCTAGATCA